ACATGACAACATCAGATCAGGTATGACCCAGAGTTTTGAAACTGCATACCTGCCAGAATATGAAGTGTTCTCTGATGATAGTCTTCACTGCATCGTTACTCCAAACATCCCTGTTCAGGCACTGACAGGCGAAGTCCTGAACATTTTGAATGTTGATCATTAGCCACTTGTTCTCCAGCTGTCCACAGTCTTTTGCCTGTAAACACAAAAGAGGAAATACAGAATCAGAAAAAAAGACATGGAATCAAGCTTGACTTGACAAATAAGTGGTGAAATTGCTAAGTTGACAAATGTGGATGAAAGCCAAAAGCACAATTAACTACATTCACTAAATAAACAGGTTTTCCTTTTTGGAAAACGGTCATAACATCAGCGGTACGTGATCACATGTCATAGTGGACTGAGTCTCTACAACAGCTTATTTCACAAATACCATGAGTGCACACTCAGCCAATGAGTGAATAACACTATCATTAAAAAAGTGACAACCTTCATACTCCTGACCTTTCCCACCTGTGATCGACACCGTCACCATCTGAAATTTCACTAAAAGTTCACACAGACAGAATAAAGACGTATGGTGTAAAGTGTCCAGTGAATGACTCCTTACCGTCTCAAAGCTGCCTTTGTGCATGAGCTCAATGGGAGGACGGAAAAGGTCTGCCAGGGTGCTCAGTTTCTTATCCACTGTCCCACCGTTACGCAGCTCCTGTTCCTGGCGGACTAGGAGAAGAAAAACGTTCTCAGTCATTATAGGATGTAAAGTCATAGAGAGGTTCAGACAGAGAGACAAGTGACATGATTTTGGCACTTGGCTGTTGTTGGTTGTTATTGTGCAGCTTTAATTTAAAACCTAACTTTAACCTTTTAATATACACTGTCCCACCAGCGTGACACTTTGGCCATGGTAGCGCTACTTTAGTTGTGTTTTAGAACCCAATCTTAATACAATCTTGAGAAATTCTAAATTCTGCCACTGTAACTTTTGTTCAGCATCTGTTATACTCATACTGACTTTTTGGTTGTAAAAATCGTGTTTCAAAAAGAGACATGGGTTATGACTGTGATCAAAAGGGCTGAAGAGCAGTAACATTTTTATTTTTGGTACATTAGTTTTGGGCTTGTGTACAAAAATGTGGCTGTCTGGTAACAAGTCAATCTTAAAAAGCTTTAATATTACTTACTTGTTTCTGTTTGGAAGTCTCGGAAACCATCAAATATTGACCGAGCAGGTCTTCTCCGCTTTGGCACTGCATGTGTAATTCAAATATCAAGTCACACTCAGATGATTTTGAGGCTCGATCGCCAGTAAAAACAGCAATTTAGTTTTAGGTGTATTTGCATGAGATAGAATAAGAAAGGAAAGCAGTACAATACCTCCAAACAGTGGTTCTGGTTCCACCAATATGTCCTGCTTCTGCGGAATGGGCGCTCGTACTTCACTGAGGCATAATGAAATACATATTAATCTAAGTTACAAAACAATCTAGAGCAAATTATCCACATTAATCATTTTATAAAGATACACTCTCTGATTTGATTACACAACCTAATGACAGCTGTGCCTTGAATACCAAATTTTCCTATAACTGTAAACTACTAAAGAAATTTAGGAGCACTATAAAAAAAATTGAGTGTATTTTTCAGATACTAAAACATGACGAAAAAAAATCCAAAGACTGTGTTCTACTTTAGTGTGACGGACGTTTGGAAAGAAAAGTATGAACTTACTCTGAAGGGGGTGCTCTGCTGCTTGAAGCTGCTGAACTGGAGCTGGTGCTGGGCTCCTCTGCTATCCCACCTCCATCCAGGAACATGGTCACTGCCATCTCCAGGTTGTTGTTGCATGCTTCCAACATATGTTTCCCTACACTCTCTGTGGCTCCTAGGAGAGCATTGGACAAAGACATACCGACACTGAGGAACATATATAGATAAAAATGCACAGCTACATGTGTGTGGACAGTCACTCTTCATGTAATTAATTTAGTACCATAGATTAAATGTGCAAAACAACACAACTGACAATACAACACACAATTCGACAATACAACTTTTACTCTGTTATCAAGGTATGAACATGAACAGGTCTGGGAAATCAATTAAGAAGCAGGTTATGGACAGACTAACTTGGGCATTCCACCTAATTACATAACTGACGCAAAAACAAAAAACAAAACAAAACAAAAAAAATATTAAACATTAAAATCCAATACTGCCATAAAGCAGACCTGTGTAATGGTTTGCAACACCTTGTGGGTTATAAAATGAATGGAAACCTCAGTATAAAAAGGTATGGCTAAATGGGTGACAAATATGTATCATCATATCACCCACCCTTGTGATGGAAAACTGCAAATCACTAGTAATGTTGTGTGTTAATAGATTGTCTCTTTTATTCTGAAATGAACTATTCAATGTCTTTATTGATGTTTGCATGTTGTGGCTGGGGGCTTTTTCTTTTTTTTTTTTAATCCAATGGCCAATATTTGATATGGATCCTGTAATTTAATTATTAAAGAATCGTGATCAAGATATGAACTATTCACAACATTTTACACTTGAAAAGTGAACTTGTGAGTCCTCACTGAGTGACAAATCATCTAATGATGGCACTATTTCTAAATTCCCTCAAATATATCTTTGACATCTGTGTACAGCAGTTTCTTGTTGCTCATCTGCCAATATCTACTGCCATAAGGATACATCTGTAATGCGCAACAATCTCATGGCCACGGATGCGTGACAAATGCAATCTATACAGTAACTTTAAAAGTGTCACACAGTTAAACTGATGACATACTACATAGTAACATCAGTAACATAGTAGAATTTGAGGCTGTGTGTCAAATTAATCAATTAACTTCACTATTTTGTGACAATGCATACTTCCACACAAATGAAACAGGCTTGTTAAATACCCTGTCAATATCAACATCCTGTTAAGTATTGTTTTCGTGTGTGATTACAGAATCAAATACTTTGCAATGGGTTCTTATAAAATGCTAATACAATGTAACTATCAGTCATAAAGCAGAGATGCTGTTCACTGTGATGAATGAGCAGAAGTCTTTGCAAAGGGTGGAAAGTAATGTACTTAAGCACAATTTAAGGTATTTGTACTTTACCTGAGTAAAATATTGTACTTTGTACTGCATTATATTTATCTGATAACTTCAGTCACAAGTTACTTTATAGATTCAGATTACAAACTAAAACCAACAAATGAATTATGATGTACTTTTACAGATTAATATAAGACTTGACAAGATACTCTGCAGTACATGAAGTAGATAAAATTAACCCCACCTTTACCAGCTAAACCGTTATGATGTACAGTGTCAAATGATATAATAAACATTGTTCTGAAATGGACCATTCTGCATACAGTAGTTTTGATTATGATACTTATGGACTATTGCTTAAGTAAAATTTTGAATGCAGGAATTTTACTTGTAACAGAGTATTTCCACATTGTCGTATTGATACTTTTAAATTGTGATAACATTGTACAGAAATGAGAGCCAAAGAAGTGCTTGAAAGTCAACACAGGAAAATATGCATCCAGATTAAAAAGAGCTATGGACTGCTTCGGGGGATATAGTAGGCACCAATTCAAAGTACAGGTTACACGATCCGTAGCGAATATGCTAAAACGTGCAAAAACAGCAGAATAGTCCTTTAATGTATTCAAATAATGACTCCCCACAATGCATGAAACTATTATAATATCATGCATATGAGAAAACATTATATCTGAGGATTAACTTTTAGTCTTTTTAAGAGTAGGGTACGGTCTGGCTTCTATGAGCTTTCCGTTTGTACTGCGCATGTCCGTTTCACTTTCCAAGTCTGGTAACAGCCCCCGACCTGAGTCTCCTGTTTTCTCCGATAAATAACTTAAAACTGAAAAACTGTCCATTGTGTTAAAGCGTACACAAGCCACCGAGGACCCCTGAGTGAATAGGCAGAGACGGATAGTGTGTTCATCCGAGTGTGGTTAAGACCACAGTCAGAGTGAAGCTGACAGCAAGACAACATGAAGCCTGGCTGGTGATGAAGAAGGGAAATGTTCTCAGCCGACGTCCATTCCACATTATCAAACAACCAGGCAGTGCAAAAAAGAGCACAAAACCAGCTCTAGGCTAGCGACATAGTCTCTTTGATGAGCACCGCAGACAAAATCTGATATTTCTAAGTGGCTATGATAGATAATATTCAAAGCTGGTGGTTTTGAGATCCAGTTCCTGAGTCTTTCACTTGAGTTTAGAAGATAACTGGCTCTGGTTTTTCCCTCTGCAAAGCATTGACAGCGCAGGGGCCATAGCAAGACTTAACGTCCGTTTTCTCATCTGCGCACTATTTTTGTGGATTGTTGGACAAAGGGGGGTATTCCTGTTGGACAACCCAAACCTACTTAATAGATCAAATGCTAAATGAAATGTTATTTTTACCTGTTATTGCTGTGAATTGTTGTATTAACCCGTTCACCCCCGGAGCTGAGGTGTCTCCGAGCGCCGCCATCTTACCGCCACAAACAACAACATAAATGTGGCGCATGCGCTACGCCGTCCTTTTCCCCCTGCCTGGCGCGGCGCGAGCCGCATGCGTCACCAAAGGATTGTGATGCGTTTTGGGTAATGTAGTTCAGTAAGAAACAATGGCGTGTTACTGGCATTTGCATACACTTGCGTGACACCCCTGGTCATATTTTCTTGATTTTTGAAGTGAAAAGAAGTAAATACAATCACTGCAGCAAACAGACCTTTGCTGCAAACAAACAGCCATTCTTGAGGGATTTCCCTGGCTTGTACAAAGTTAATATGCATCTTCTACTATGATGAATTATTAGTGTTGTACCTCTTTGTTGTAAATTAAGAAAGTTACAAAAAAGTTATGGGGTGAGGCCCTCAGTAATACGTGACTATTCTGTTTCAAAACTGCCTTGTATCAGTCATGACAAATATAATAGCTTATACATTAAAGCTACATAGACTTGCTATTTAACTAGTGTCATTTTATTGTTATTTGCATAATACATTCAGTTTGAAAACAGCATCAACCAAGTCCAAAACCTGAAGACTCAGTTCTAACAACAGTGAGCTAATAGCAATTGGAGTAATTGCTCATTCAATGACCACTAGAGGTCAACTTATCTTCATTACAGTATATCACACAGATCTGTTGTGTGCTGCGGCACAAACAAGAAAAAACAATATCACTTTACAAAGGGAAGGTGATGATGGCACTGATTTTCTACATGAGATGTCCAAACTATATTTACAAGTACACAAAGTGACAATTCCAGTCCCACTGGCCAATTATAAAGTAACTTATGTTAAAGCTGAATATAAAATAACATTACATTCATATCAATAATGCACAATGTTCTTCAGTTTTGCTGATGGTCTGATATGGGCTCATAAATGTTCTACAGCTGAGTTATGGTAATCATTGAATTTAAAAGGTTTGTACCACAATTTCTATTTCTTTGACGAAGAACAAACGGTCAGCTATAGAAACCTATGATACAAACCAGGAAGTTCTTTTCTTAACTGCAAAGGGAGATTCAGTATTAACTTGGCCCAATTTAACAATTGGAGGGCCCGCTACAAACCCAGATGAAATGAATTACACAACGCTCTGTATCTTACACAGAAAGCACTTAGTTTAGCACTCTCCATGTAAATGCAGTGATGCGCTGGAATCTGCACCATTTTGTCATGAGACCTTTTAGCCCTGAGGTGGGAAATTAGTTTCATATAAAAGATGCATCACTTTTTAATTTTAAAAGGGAATAAATCAAGTGCACTCAAGCATTATATACAAGAGATCACAAGAAAAAGTCATTTACTTTTGGTTTAAGGTGGTAAACATGGCCAATAAATACTTATTTTTAAGCATTATCAAAGGTCAAATGAGAATAATACAGAATGTGTCACTGTAGTGTCTTCAGTAAATCTCAAAATGTTAAAAAAATTGTCTGTGCCAACAGCATGAAGTAATTTATCTTACATTAGTTAACATCACTGACGTGAGACCAGTCCTCCCCTTAGAAAGCAAATTTACTTCAAAAACAATCTACATTTTACTGTAATCAATTAAGCTTCCCAAAATCAAAAGACAACCAAGGCTGTAATCAGTGATGTATTCAAGGTAAAAAAAACAGCCAAACCAACAAACAAACAAACAAAAAAACAAACAAAAAAAGGGTGATGTACTAATGATTACAAAACCATCTTCATAAACGCGTTAAATTACTTCACATTCTAATGAGCTTTATTTTACTGCACATGTCAGTCTTGTTAATCTGAAAATTGGCCTATGAGCTGTAAAATATCTGGAACAAGGAATAGACATCAAAATGAGCCCACGATACCAGTTTATTAAAATGATTCATCAGTTTCCACTGATATGTTTTCCATAAAAAGATTGATGTACGTAAGTGCCACTTAACTAAACTGCTTCAAACTGCATGGCGTCAGTATGGCATCTTAGGCTTCATTTTTGATGTTTCTGTGGCTGCCAAGTTTGATAACTGGGGCAGTTTTGAAGCATGATAAACCAAACGAGACAATAAGTAGTATTGTGAAGATTTAAATATATAAATTCTATTTTTTCATGGGCTTTCCCTTTAATGTCAATGCTTAGTTGTTCATTTACTCACTGTGTACCTTGTAAGAACAGTCTCATCCTGTACAACCAAAAAGAATAAACTCTCAAAGTCCCTCAAATATTATGACTACCACCCTTTTCTCTCTTATGTTAGCAGTGCAACTTCAACAACGTGATAAATGAGATTAATTTCTTATTTTGCTGATGGTCACTGTATGATTGAGGAAAGAAGATGTCTCCATACTGTGTCCTACATGCAAAACAATAAAAGAAAAATAAGTGCGGAGGATAAATGAGGAAATGGGAGTCGGGTACTTTCACAGTTCATATCCAGCTTAATAAATAAATAAAGCTTTCACACAATAGCATAGATCAAGGTGTGAATGAGTGCATACATGCATACATGTATGTTGAGTGAGCTGTGGGTGAGTTTCATGTTGGAATGTACATTTGTGTATGGAGTGACTATATGATTCAGTGAGGCCAATGTGTTTTAAAATGAAGTTTGTTTCTGTAGGCAGAGTAGGGAGGGAGGGAGGGAGGTGAGGGAGAACACTGTGAAGTTGGCAGGTGAGTTGTATACTGCAGTTTAGAAGCGGATGAAGGTAGCGTCGATCTGGCGTACACTGGGCAGCGCCAGCATGATCTTTCGCCGGTACTGTGGATCCTTCTGTAGCGGGTTTCTTTCAAGATAGACCGTCTCCAGAGACTTGGCATTCTTCAGCTCATCGAGATCTGACCAGTTATCTATCTGATTATCGTTCATCTGGAGAGAGAATCAAAGAAAATATAACCAATCAGAAGACACAATTAGTATTGTCTTAAATAGCAAGAGCATTTAAATAAATAACTTATGTTTAATGATAAAAAGATACGATTAATAAGACTATACTAAAGCATTAATCGATCCATCAATTACCGGGTCAAATTAAAATGGGGCTATCAAAGACTAATTAAGCCAGAAGATAAAAAGATACAGTATATTAAACAAAGACTATAACAATATAAAAGAAAAACATATAAAAGCTGCGGTAGAAATAAAACTTACAATGCTGTTTCAGAAAGGAATTTGTAAAAAACAGCAACAGTGTATATCTTGATTGACTTTGGGTTCCCATTTTCTTTTCCATTTGTCAACTGTTACATAATATAATAATATAATATCTTTATATTTGTCCTCCCCGAGGGTCTGGTGGCAAACCTAAACTGGTGCACCATGGTAAGCAGTAAGAGCTCTCAATGGCTGGCACCTAAAATTGTTAGTGGTGTATGCCCATGTAAGCAGCCATGAAACTTTCAAGAAATAAATGGGAGGTAAATGGGTCTGTCAACAAGAAATTGATGAATGAAAATGAGAACGTTGATTTTATTTAACGTTACTATGGTTCAAATCCAAATGTCTGCTGTGTTAACGGCCTTCTGATGAGACTTTAGGTGCTAGGTAACAATCAAAAAAAAGGTAAACATTTTTGTCCAACTTCACAAATGATCCATACCCAGAACTCCTGCAGCTCTGTCAGATGGTTGATGTTTTCAATTTTCTTTACTCGATTGGCAGCAATGTCCAGGGTTGTGAGCTTTTTCTGTGAGAGAAAGCAAACAGTGTTTGAATGTGCAGAACAAATTTTGTTGTACATGTTTGCATAGTGAGCAAAAAGCATGATGGACAGTTTGGCATTCAGTCCTTTCAGAAATGAGCTGTCTATAACTCACATTGTTCTCCAAGCCCTCAATGACCTCAATGCCATTGTGGCTCAGATACAGCTCTCTCAGGTTGACAAGGTTCTGCAGACCCTCGATTTTAGTAATACGGTTACTCTGAAAATAAATGTACACAACATTAATAACCAATGTGTCAATGTACATAATTAAGTTTAATCATTGTAACCCCATCCATGTGCTGAAGAAGATTTGAGTTAGAATACCTGAATGCTTAAAACAGTTAGGTTGTGTAAACCCTCCAGATTCTGAAGCTGAGTTATTTTATTGGTGCCAAGAAACAAACTTTGCAAAGACGCCAGTGTATCCAGGTTCTCTATGACCTGTGAACACAACAAGAGACACAAATAAACATGTTAAAATTAAGTCATGATTATTTCACTTATGCCCTAATGTCACAGAAACATGTTATGGTATTCATAGCATATACCACATTTACAAAAAGGTTTAACCAAACTTCTCACTGCTTATGTCTCACCCGGATGCGATTGGAGCCCAGCTCCAGCATCTCCAGGCCTATGAGATTTTCCAGGTTGGCAATGCTGCTAATTTTGTTGTGAAGAAGAAAAAGTTTCTTCAGCTGAGTCAACTGCTCCAAACCCTCCACCTTCCTCAAAATGTTGAAGGACACGTCAAGCTGCCTGTTGATCAATCAAACAAATCTCCACATTAGAATAAATTGTACTTGAGATGTGGGCTCTTTGTTCTATTATATCAGCTATATGAAAAATACTACCACTATCCCAATATCACTTTATATCTACTTTAACAACATGACTCTTTGGATGGAACTTCTGTCATATGTGGGGAAAATAAAGACAGATTTTTCACACTTACTCCAACTCTGTGAGGTTGTGCAGGTTCTCCAGTTTGCGGATCTGATTGTCATAGAGATCTAGTTCCCTCAGTGAGCTCAAACTGTCAAGGTTTTCTATCTTTTTGATGAGGTTCTGTCGTAAGGAGAGTGTCTGTATAAATACAGAAATGAAAGAAGGCAATTAAGTGATACAATCAATAGCTTGATTTATCATAGACACCAAACTGTTATTTTTTTTAGATATGATTAATAGAGGAAAAAAACACCAAAATTGTGCCTAGTTTTTCTAGAGAGGAAAAATACCGGAATGACTCCTGCTTTACATGCAATAAATGTTGTATTACTTCATCACTTACTGATGTTACTTACTTTAGCCTTTTGTAACACCTCCAATCCTTCAATCTTCCCAATACGACAATGAACAAGATCAACATCCTAGAAAGAAAACAAACAGCTTAGGATGACATCCTGTCTATAAGTAGTATGTGGGTAGTAGTAAGTAGTAAGTAATAGTGGTTGTTATTTAAGTTTTATAGGAGAAATAATAAGGCTGCAGTGATGAAACCTTTGTAAGAAAAGAAAATAATTTTTAAAATACAGCGGATGTGTTTTTTTATATCCCACCAAAAGTAGTCATTACAGATAAAGGACATTTTAATAAAAATCAATAAATCATTAACTTTTCGACAGTAGCTACAGCTGAACAGCAGTAATCTTTTTAGACCATTTTCTAACCTCTTCCTCTGGGTCCAGGGTTATGGTGTCCATGTCAACTGGAGACTCTTCTTTACCTTTAATGAGGGCAAAATTAAATCAGATAAACTAATGAGGCCATTGCATCAAGGTAGGGTATTAACAAACAAGAGAGGCACAAAAAACTTTTTGAAAGCAGTTGAAAAGACTGATGGTTATGTAATGCTGTAATGCAGATTATTCATGTCAGAATAATAGCAGCTGACAGACTGATTTGTTAAATGTGGCCATTTCAATGTGGCTGTGCTGTGCAATGTGATGATTTACTTGTGGTAGCGGGCTGATTGGGGTCCACATCGCCATTGATACTCCTCCTCCTGGTCTCATCATCACCAGACTCCTCAGACTCACCCCTCCGGTCCACTACAGTCAGCAGACGAAGAGAAGAAAAGGTTAATCTTACCATCCAGATGCAGAGCTGTCGTCTCATTGTCTGATGTATCAGTGACACATTTAGCTGATGCAAATGTAATATGATGCAAAGAGCAGGCCCAGCCCCATCTGGCCCACTGAGAGTTTAGGGGTGTCATGTAGAGCATCCAGCCTCTCTCTCACTGTTCCCGGGCTATATACTATGGCTAGACCATATTTCTGCATTCTGCACTCAGATACATGCAAAAATTATGACAACAACAACTGTGGCCAATGTACCCAATAACAACTACCAATGAATAAATCTGTTACTGGTAAGTGCTGTGGATGTGGTGCCAGCTGTATTTCCATCTTAGAGACAGCTTCCAGGCTAAGGTTAGCTCACTTACATTAACACAGACTGCACACTGCTAACCATGTTAGCTTGCTAGTTAGCTGACTAGACAACAGAAGACAGGTTTACGAGCTAAAATTGGAAACATGTGATATGGGGGGACAGGCTACATTTAACATAAAATCCAGTTTCAGACCATTAGACTACACAAAGCAGTTAGAGAAAGTGAAATGAGTCATATATGGAATAGCAGGACAGGGTGAGTTGACTGAATCACGTCAGCTAACGAGTCTTGTTGTTAGCCTGTTAGCTCGCTAGATGGACAAGGATGGAGGTCTGGTTAGTGACAAGGAGAAAGAGTCACCGGATGTGCTCATATAAAAACAGACACGTTTGTCCAGATAAATGCCGGTTTACCTAGATAACGCAATCATGACACAGCTGCATCTTTTCTAAATTTACTCACCTTCCATTTCTTGAAGCTCTCCAACAGACAGGGAAGCCATGTTTCCTGTAAACATTCCTGACAACCGCTCAGCCTATCCGGTGGAGGTTCATCCTGTAGACACAAGAGGGCGCTGCGCCACACTAAAAACCATGCTAAAAACTGAGGAGAAGTTAGCATTCAGTATATTTACACCATAAAATCAGCAGTTGTGGAAAGTAATCAAGCACCATTACTGTATTTAGTTTATTTTACATTTAGTGCTATTTTGTACTTTTTCTTTATTACATTTCAGAGAAAAATATTACTACTTTTGACTCTACTAGATTTATCTGACAGCGATATGGATGAAAGAGCAGGTCTACCAGACACAGGCTGAGGACATGGGGCTCCTGGGCTAAAGTCACTGTATGAAGTAACTGCTAAATGTCTTGTTCAACAGGCATAGAGCTCAATTAAAACAAGACCAAAAATGAGTACAAAGGGATATAAAAATAGCATAAAGAGACTCCAAATAACTACAGAGACACAAAATTGTGAGCAGTCAGTGCAGCTATAAAGCTGCTGTGTGTCTTTCAGTCTGGAGCTCCCACATTGGAGGTCAGCTTTTACATGTTAGTGCACTGGGGCATATTCTCTCATAATACGTCCATGATAACAGATTAACATTTTACATACATAACATTTGATCAACAAATAAAATATGATGCATTATTACAGATTAGACTATCCAGTATTGTATAGAAGAAGTAGGCCTAGGTAAAACAAGCTCCACCTTGACCATGATCATAATGATCCCATGACATACTCTAAAAAGTAATATAACTCTGAAGGGTGCTAATCTGCATTATGAGTACTGTCACTCCTTTCATAACTTGCCAAATACATAATAATTTTACTAATTTCACTTAAGTAAAAGTTCAACTGGTATCTCTAGTCCCAAAGTTTATCCCATCCCAAAGTTTGTTCTTTTTTTCTCTATTTAGTATTTTATTGGTTCAGATCATTGTACAGTTTTGAACACAAACACTTTTTAATTTCCACTGCATGTTTATCCAGCACCATGGCTGACTTTGGTAAGAACTACAATATATAAGGACGATACTGTACATATACATTAAAAAACTAAAAAAGAAAACAAAAACACATTATTTTAAGTGAGCAGGATCACAAGTTTGTGAAAGCAAAGTCTACAAAAGCAGGAAACAGCCTGACTCCTAAAATCCCCTCTCTCTGTGAAGTCTCCCTGCTCTCTCACAGCAGACTGTTTATACATCCACTTTCCATTTGTCCTGCATACCTTCCAGTTTAAGATTATGCCTGTAGAGGAACTTAGTCTAAAGGTCTTTTGATGACATGACATGGAACACTTTATATGTGCACATAACACACACACACACATGCAGTAGATTAATAGATACTGTAGATACTAGCTCAAAATATCTAATCATTATTATGCTCCTATGTCATTTGTTTCTGATAACATAAACTTTTTATGTGAAAATAGGCATGAGATATGATAAAATTAGGGACATACAATAGAATTCATACTTGACCTATTATTTGGATAAGCAGGCTGAGAGACAGAGATGAGCAGGATGTTCCTTATTATCAGACCAGTGAAAAACAACAGACTTCGTTGGCCAGGGTAACAATAAGAAAAAGTTCAGAACCAGAGGTTTTTGCTTACTAAGATCTAGAGTGACAACATGCATGTTTAACTGGGCAACTGGCTAAATATTATTGGACACTACATATCATGGAATAATTGACAAGGCATCAGTCAGCAGTAAAATTTACTTATTAACATTTTCAAAACAAAAACCAGAATGGGTAATGGGGATGGATGGATGGACTAAGTCCTCATGAATTTATCTTGAGCCTACACTGAGTTATAGTTTTGCAAACATTTTGTATAGCCAATTTTTGGCCCTGAGCATCACCAACAGCAGTGTTACACATGCTCAGAGCCAGGGATGAGAAGACCATCAACATATTTTTTTTCCGGTGGTTTCCAGTGTCTGTGCAGGTTCAGGGTCACCCCTGAGAGGTAATGTGACATTATTAACAAAATTAATCAAATTAATCAAATTCTCTCCACAGAAACACAAGAAACAATGGATGCAGAGCTTTAATACAACCCAAAAAAGAATGCCTAAGTTATATGAACACCTGAAACCTGGAGATTCTGGCTCCTATGTGTTTCGGGGAGAATATGGAGGGAAGAGCTCTCAGCCAGCTAGTCATGAGGCTCAGCTCTTCTAAAGATATGCCGTCATGATCTGCCCTGAAAGGACTTTTTTATGTTTGGACTGTTTATTTCCTATCTATTTTGAAATACTTACCTTGTGTATCCACTGTTTGTTTATTTCCTGTCTTTGTCCAGTTTCCTCGCTATTGTGATTGTTTGCCCTGCCCTAATTTGTTGGTTTGTCTGATTTGCTCCTTCTGAATTTCCACCTAATGCTTTCACTTTTGATCCTGTGTTTTGTCTGCGCTTTCTGAATTCTGCTTTCCCTGTTTGTGAGTCAGTTTTGTTTTTAAATTACCTTTTTTCATCCACCCCCTTTCTGAGTTGTAAAACCAAAGAGGAGGAAAAGTAAGAAATAAAGCACACAATATTTCACTCTGAAATGTAGGTGAATAGTGTAAAGTAACATAAAACAGAATTTGGACAAAATTCCTCAACATTGTATTTAATAGCCTTAGGCAAATACTTAGTCATCCTCAGTGGTGGATGTATTCAGTTCCTTTACTTAAGTAAAAGTGTCAATACCACACAGAAAATACTCCAATACTAAAAGTCCTGCATTCAAACTCCTACTTAAGTAAAAGTAATTTTCAGGAAAATGTCCTTAAAGTAGCCTATTAAAAGTATTCATTATGCTGAACAATTGTTTAATTCTGTAAATATAGTTAAATGTTATACTATTTCGAATCAAAGCCTGTCATGGTATTTTATTCTACTGAGGTAGTTGCTGTATAGGCCAGTGTAATATTGTGCTGAGATGTTAGACTTTTTGTTCTTACTGTTCAAACTTACATTGTCAGTTTGCTTTGGCATACTAAATAATGCCAAAACAACCCTGTTATTGCGGCTCTGTCATTACCCGTTGCCATGATGGAGGGTCACTTGTTACTATGGTGACCAAGTTGATTAAGCAAACTAATATCACCTGTTGGGGTTAGGCAATAGGTTAGTAGGCTTGCCATCTCGAGCAGCTATTGACACGTGTTTGGTGGGTCTGGGGCATGGCCCTGCTGTACAGGATCTGTTGGTGGGGAGTTACCAGTCACGGGCCAGCTACATTAGCCAACCGGACGCGAGACAGGAGTACATTTAACTTTGTCGAAGCGAAAGTGATCTCTGCACTGCAGTCAGTGAGGAGCTGAGTCCTCCCGTTGTCTTCTGTTGTCCTGGATGTGATGTGTTACTGGCGCACTGGTTACGCTTAAATGGCTTAAAACAATCCTGTCTATTTATAACTGGAGACTTTTGTCCTTCCTTGACGGTTGAAGACTGGCTGAATTTTGAGCTGCAAGTAAAACTAGAAATGCATCGTCTTGGCATTTTTGTGCTCATGCTATTCCACTTATCACAGGCTTTTCCTGTTCCACTAGGTAAGAAGCTTGTCTCTTTGCATTGCATTACTTTCCAGGGTTGATAGTAGAGTAGTTTATGAAAAAAACAACACAAATCTGAAAAGTTTTACTCTGTTTTACTGGTTTAACGCATCTACGTTAATTTAGCCTTTACAAATGTTAAGAAGACTGGTGGATGATGTTCATATTGTAGGTGAAAAGTAACAAACTACTGTTTTGCTTTACCCTCGAGTCATTCAGTTTGGTAAGACTTTGTTTTTATTCTTTTACTTTTCATGGAATCATAATAGATTATTCTACAACTGGACACAATCATATACACCAACAAAATGTCAATGTAATGTCCCTGAAATAAATCTTGTCTAAACTAAGTGTTGCGTTTTTGACGCTGTCAGAGAGGTTTTGGTTTAACTTAAAACCTCCCAATAATTAACGTTAATAATAATAACTAATAATTAACCTTTCTGTTTAGACGGTGTTGTATGTGAATACATTAGATGGCACAGGGGTACCTGGCAAAGATGGTACTTTGTATTTCACTATATTTATTTGACAATTGCAATTACTTTACTTTAGTAATGCAACATCCACATGCACAAAATGCATCAGAATGAGTGCTTTTACTTTTGGTTTTACAGTTGTTTTTGTTTCCCCAAGTACAATTTTTAAGATGGAACTACTTACTGACATGACCAATTTAACATAGTTTCAGACCTACTACTACTTTTACTTAAGGATTTGAGCATTTTCAGCACAAGTTACATTTGAAGACTATTTTGCATCACCTGTTACGTTACTTGAAAAAAAGTCCTACAGGGACTCAAAGCCTACTGCAACATTTTGAGTCTGCCTTCTTTTTTCTCAGTGCATGTATTTTGGTTGTCTTCCATTAGATACCGTCTTAGTTCAGGTCCAACAGTGGGTAGTGGTGGGTGCTCAGCGGGTCGAGGAGCAGGTGCTTCTCAATGGAGTCTCTCTTACTGGCACAAGCCAGGAATTCAACAGCATTATCAAAAGCATTTCAACTGATGGGCTCCCTCTGACTCTTATCAGTGTCAACCAGACTTCAGTGCTAAGTAAGAAAATAATCATACAGTACATATAAATGAAATGACTTGGATCAGATGCCATGGTCAGACGTTTTTTTTTTCTTTTTGTTAATAGCCTTTATCTCACTCCATATAGGAAACCACACTGTTTGTCGCTCTCGTGAATGCATACTGGAGGGGTCTAAGTTACACTGGGCAGACCGTGTTTTCTATGATGGAAAGCCCTATCTGACTCTGGACCACAATGACACATGGACAACCCAGGTACCACAAGCATTTGCCTTCAAAGTCTTGTGGGACCAGGAGGTGCAGTATGCAAGGGCAGGCCGCCTTCAAGAGGAGTGCATCAAGCTAATGAGAGAATTGAAGCTTTCAGAGGAGCAGCCAGGTATGTTTTCTTTTGTGGCTTTTGAGTAAAAATTTCCTTATCAAGCTTTAAGAGTTGTGGAGTCCAGTAAGAAGTACTTTGCCTGGAGGTGCTATTTAGCTCCTAGTGCATATCCTCTTTTTTTTTTTAATTTGTTTTTTTTTTAAATAATGATATGCCAACTGTTGATACTTCAGTTTTGTGCTGTGGCCACCAGCTGCCAATATTTACAGTCAAATTACCAGATCAGGAACGTCTTTTTGAACATGACAAAAATATATAATGGTATTTTGGAGCCAAAATCATGATGAAAATATATAAATGATAAGAATAATAGGGTATACACAAGGGCTGAAATTTGATTTATTTTCATTGTTGATTTATGTGATTATTTTCTCAATTAATTGATCCATGATTTTAGTCTTAAATTTAAGAAAATATTTCACAAAATACAGAAAAATGTCCATCCAGTTTCCCTAGAGTCCAAGGCAACGTCTTCAGATGTCTTTTTTATTAGCATTTATTTTGAAACAAACTGAATGACTCGCAATAAAAGCAGTGTGTCTGTGACATGATTAGGTGGTGATTAATCGGGGGCAACTTCAGTGCAAGACAGGATCTATCCATTCTACATTGTTCATTTGTTCACTGTATTCTCACTACAGTGTTGGTGATAACAGACTTAATACACAAGGTTGGATAATCTGTCCTGGGTCCCCAGCTGTGGTTCTCTGGTAGTATTGACTTTGAAAAGGTTGAAAAGTAGGAAAAAATGCTTGAATGCTGCTGGTGGCTGTGGATTGTGGAGGCAGCTGATGGCTTTGACTCTCAGTCATATAAGGCAATGTGTGTTTTAAAAAAAAAAAAGGTGATACTAAGGAAAAACACCACTCTCTCCCCGTGATTGCACTCCATCTCCACATACAGGCTGCACATGTTTTACAGTAACCAGTTTTGTTGACAAGCAGCCAGGTTACAAATTTGTAATGTTTTTCTTAGTTCCAGGGATTCCTTTGCCTCAGATTTTGATCCCAATCTTGGCAGTCCTGGCTTTTACCGGCCTAATCATAATCAGCCTCCTCCTCTCCAAAAACCAGGGTGAGTAAACAAGATTTTTTCCCATTTGAATAATAATAATAATAAATGAAGTTTTACAGTTTTTAATCGGTTACATTCTCAAAAGCTCCCTTCATGAAACAGCAAAATGATTGATTTTCAAGAATGGAACAGTCTTGTGTTTCATATTGTCAATTAACAGCAGGAACTATTTAATGTTTTCCTTGAGTGTACTACCTCAGTTGAATACCTCATAGAATGAAGTATAACTTGGCTTGATTTTTATGTGTCCTGTCACATGATTGTTGATATGGTGCCTCATACTCATGGGGAAATGTAAAGCATAGTCATGTGTTTTGTCTTTCTCACACTCTGCCTAGGTTTGAGGCACCCTGGAGGTAAGAAAACAACAACCCCTGTGTTTTCCCTTTTCCCCTGTCTCTGTAAGATGGATAGAAAATATATGACCTGAAGTGGTTCAAAAATCTAAAACAATTTCTTTCCTTTTGCTTGATAGAGTTACTCAGTAATGAAATGGAAACAGCATACCCTTTGGACTAGGCATGTTTTTGTTTTTTGCGTTTGTGTGCCAGTCATCTGGTTTTGACCATCCTGAATCACTAAATGATAGTTAACAGTAGCACATCACTCATGACTGACTAAGCCTTTCCAGGTCAGCCAGTTAGTCATGGATGATAAAAACTTTTTTATATACTTGATAGTTACTCAGTAATGAATGTTAGAACTATTCTGTGCTCTTTTGTTTGCAGGGGTTCTCGGCTCCATAATACATTACCCAAAAGACATGACTGAAGAGGGTTCAGAAATAAAAGGCGATGGCTACAGTGCCTTGTAATTCAGAGCACAGCTACGTAACAAGCTAATGTTTGAGCTCTCTTCTCTGTTTCTGCTGTTGAACGTCTACTTACTGATATGACCTGTGTTGACAGTGTGACATTTCAAACCCTTGCTACACTGTTGAGTTACAGGCCACAGTATTATATGCACTTTAATATGCATGTATCACACTTTACAGTGGTACTCTGTGTATATTTTTAATATTTATGCATACACACAATATAAATATGTCCACTGCCTGCAGCAATGCACAAGGTCTGAAAAACCTTCCTGGTTTGATGTTTTCACATTTCTTTTGAGATATTCTGCTGTATACGGTGATTTTCTTTGTTCTTTCCTGTTCATGTAAAATTTAAAAAATGTTTAATTAAAAATACTTTTATGCATGTTTTTTTTATTGTTATATTTTTCACTTGTGTCAAGTTATCTTAATCTGTTGTATTAGGACAACAGATTCTTTATTCTGGACAGGGTGATTGCATCTTTGGAAGTACAATCTTCTCAACATAATTTTTAGAGACAGAATGTCTCTAAAATGTAATGTAGAGGAATATAATGTATCATTTGAGCTGCTGAGTGGGTCTGTGTAGTGCCAGCATGTATCCTTTGTGGTGCTCCAAAGATGTGAACAATAAAATGCTCTCTTTAAAGTGATAAAATTGTGTTTATTCACACAGATGTTAGTCTGTCATTTTATATTTCACAGAACCTGTATTATTCTCTTTAAATATGAAACGAGGTGTAATTGATCAATAATTTAATCCTATTAATCTAGTGAACAGAAAAATACCTAATCATAATCACTCTTGGTCACAGATCAAAGACCATATAACAAAATGCTTTGTTTGACTTGATAATGTCTCTGGTTTTAGCTTTACTATGGCAAGAGCATTTAGTCTTCAATTGTATTTAATTTGTCATGTAAAGGACAAAGGAGAGCCTCAAATGTTTGAATGCGTGAACAAACATGTAAAGTTCAACCTATTAACATGAAGTGAATATGTGAATGATTCAACCATTTGTTAAATGTCTTCTTTATGATAATTTGACAGTTTATCACCAAGTAATACTCATTATGGCAACCAGTCCAGGGCAGTCTAATATGACTGGATCCAAAAGTGTCTAATAAAATGCTTATGATAGGTTAAATTATGCACCACTAACAATATATTGCAGATATGCATTAAAGAAGAAATATTCTGGGCGAGGGAAAGTTTTGGAAATGCCCTGCTAAAATCAGAGCGATACATTTGAATAAAGGTACCTTATAGAGGATTCACTTCATACTTAAAATGCCTATGATTATATGTCTTGCAAATTACGACGGTCAAACTTCCAATAATCAAATAAAATGCATTTAATAACTGACTGTGAACCAAAGCAACCTACAGTAAATCAAAGATCCTCTGTCTCTGACTAAATCTGTCCTCAGAAAATGTAAACTGATGTAGTTTTTATTTTTACGTCACACAGCTTCTTCCCTACCCTGACATCATCTTTGTCCAGTAGATGGCGATAGATTTTTTAGGGGAGGAAAGTTTTCTTCAGACGTTGAACTCACAGGAATCCTCATCCACCAATCACATTAACGTATTCGTAAACGTTACCATAGCAGTGCGAACCAATCACCGGAGCGTTTTCAGACATTTAAACCGTGTGGCGTCATTTTCGCTGAATTCAAACTGCAGAGGCAGAAGACAGGGAACGGCCCGAGTTCCTCCTGTGCACCCCACGTTTTCTGAAAGAGGTGAGCTCAGTTTGTTTATTTTGAAGCGGAAAAGGTCCACTTTTGATTTAGGTATTCAGTGGGGTTTTCTTTTGGTTTTCGACACGACGATTATTAAACTTAAAGTTGTTAATGCTACGGAATTTGATGCTAACTTGTGTTTGTTTACTGCGTTTATTACGTTGGGTTAACGTACCCCGGTAACTGCGAAAATGATTTTAGCTAGCGTTATTTTCTTAAAACGAAATTCAATGTTTAAAGTAGTGCTAACGTTACCTCGGAGGTCTTGCTAACAAGCCTTAAATTCAATTTTGGTCCGTTACTGTTGCACATCAGATCAACGCTCTTTAATAATTGTTTGCCCTGGTTTCCAGGTCGTGTGAAAACCTGGATAAGATGGCGCAGTTTGGGTTTGAGAACGACATCCACAGTATTTTGAAGCTGGATATGCCCATCACAAACGCTCCCATGGCGAGGTGGCAAAGAAAGGCCAGCTCATCAAACACATCCGCCTTGAACGGTTTGTCGCCTGGAAAATCTGCCAATGTGTCGCTAAGTTCATCAAAAACACCAAGCAAAACACCAGGTACTGTGTGCCCATTGTATTCATGCAACGTCAGTGCTAACAATGTGCGGTTATCACTGCAAATGCTAACCCCTGCATATAATATATATATTTTTGTATTGTAGGCAAAAATAAAAAACAAACGCCCTCTAAGATGGGAGGCGACCGCTTCATTCCCGTCAGAAACAGCAAACAAATGGATGTGGCAAGTTTCCTGCTCACAAAGGAGAATGAGCCAGTGGACACAAACAATGCAACAGGAACATCAGTAAGAGATTTTGTTTGGATGCATCTCTTTATGATTCCCTTGTAAATTAAGCAGTTTATTGAGCAAAGCTATCTGTCCTTAAAGGAAAACCAGAAAGCCTGGTCTATGTCACTGAATGGATACAACATTGAAGATGCAAAGATCCTGCACCTTGGAGGGAAACCACTGAATGCACCAGAGGGTAAGGATGTTTGCATGCCAACACCATGCATGGCAAGAATATTGAATGAATATAGAAAGTGAGGATTGTTAAAAATGATCTGTCTAATTTACAGGATATCAAAACAACTTGAAAGTCCTCTACAGTCAGGGTGCAACTCCAGCTTCAACCAAAAAGACGAGATACATATCTTCAACGCCTGAAAGAATCTTGGACGCTCCCGAGCTTCGAAATGATTTCTGTAGGCTTTGCATTTAAAGTGTTTCCTAATAGCATTCATGCATGTTGGTATTTTATTTGGTGCAATGTATGCATAACTTATCACATCTTGGTTTCACAGCACTGAGGATGAAATTTATCCAACATCAGCTTTTATACTAAATCTAAAGATTTTTAATAATGGATTTCTTTCAGTATACGACCAAGTATTCATTTGGGTCCCTTCCTTTTTTTTTTTTTTTTTTTTTTTTTTTTTTTCTCTTCCTCCCCAGATTTGAATCTGTTTGACTGGAGCAGTCGAAACATTCTTGCTGTGGCTCTTCATAACAGTGTTTACCTGTGGGATGCCAGTCAAGGGGATATCACTCTTCTCATGAAGCTGGAGCGTGAGGAGGACTACATCTGCTCATTGTCCTGGACCAAAGAGGGAAGCTATCTTGCTATTGGCACCAGTGATGGCAAAGTTCAGGTCAGTGTGGTGATGAACACACCCCTTTAGTTCATAAGGACACATGACTCCCAAAGAACTGATTTTGTATTTAATATATATATATATTTTTTTCTCTTTTTAGTTGTGGGATGTTGAAAACCAAAAGCGTTTACGCAGCATGGCCAGCCACACGGCTAGAGTTGGTAGCCTGAGCTGGAATGACTATGTTCTTTCCAGGTACGGTGTTTTTTGTTTTTACCCCTCTGATTTAAAAACAATTCCAGTGGTTTGATTTTGTTGGACCCAGATGTAATGTGTTCTCTCCTGTCCACCCCTAGTGGCTCTAGATCAGGACACATTCACCATCATGATGTGAGAGTGGCAGACCATCACATCTTCACACTCCATGGTCACTCACAGGAGGTGTGCGGGCTGAAGTGGTCTCCTGATGGGCGATACCTGGCCAGTGGAGGCAATGACAACTTGGTGTGTGTCTGGCCCCGTGTGCAGGAGGGCAGCGCCAGCAATGACGGCCAGTCGGTCCGCTGCTGGAGTGAACATCAAGGAGCTGTAAAGGTGAGCACCTTTTTATTATTTATTTATTTATTTTTTTAAATTACTCATACTAACAGAATTTGGGAAGACATGTAACTGCTTGACATAAGCATTCTCTGCCATAGATATGTTAAATGTGACTGTCACTTTGGATGTTATTATTGTAGGCTTTGGCCTGGTGTCCATGGCAGCCAAATATCCTTGCATCTGGAGGTGGTACCAGTGATCGTCACATCCGTATCTGGAATGTAAACAGCGGCTCCTGCATCAGTTCACTTGACACTCAGTCCCAGGTAATTACACACGATTAGACCCTTGAGTTTCAATGATAATTCTGAGAAAATGTACTTCTTAATTTGGTCTACGAATTTATTTAACTTGGAGGTGACAGCATGCATGAATGATTTTGCATTTCAGATCTCATCACTGATGTTTGCACCCAACTACAAGGAGCTGGTCTCTGCCCATGGATATGCCCACAACAATGTTGTTATCTGGAAGTATCCCTCTCTCACTAGAGTCGCAGAGCTTGCTGGTAAATAACTTAAGACTGGACTGACTGTGCCTACTCATTCATACTTTACTTTAAAGGAAAACTCTAGTGAACTATACTCCTGTAATTTATGCTTTCTGTTGGCCTAATTATTCATTTTCTTTATCTTAGGCCACGAGGACAGAGTTCTCAGTTTGACTCTGAGCCCAGACTGCTCCACCATTGCGACTGTTGCTGGAGACGAAACTATTCGCCTGTGGAAGTGCTTTGAAGTGGATCCTGTTAAGAAGAAGGCCAAAGACAGGATGGTCAAATCAACTAGCAGTGTCATTCATCAGTCTATCAGATAATTTCCTTTGTTGTGATTTGAGTTTTTTTTTTTTTGTTTTGTTTTTTCTGGTCTATGCTGAATGAATTTGCAAGTGTTTTATTTAATCAACAATAAAGATTCCACCCAGTGTTTTAGCCATAACTGGATTCTTACTGTTCCTGTTAGTGGTATAATGGCTTGTTCTTGTCAATTGTTTACCATATTGGCAGACCTGTATAAAATAGTGTTGGCCTTCAACACTACTGTTCTGGAACTCTATTTATGACCTTCAGTTAGCTTATATTGTAATCAGGATGCATTGTATACAACGGACTACGCTATAAATAAATGTTTTTACCTTTGATGTGCTTCTGTCAGTTAATTAGCATGTATTACTACTGCCATGCTGAAAACATATGGCTTGGACAAGCAGTATTTTATGAGTTTGTCTCCACCAGTGACATTTATCCTGCAATTTGTTTCATCTGGAAACAAATACTTGTACATAAGGCTTGTTTTGATCCCCAGTCAATCAGACTGAGGTCTACTATGACCTTGTCTCCTTTTGACATGCCACGCATCTTCATTAAGATGGATAGAAAGTTAAATATATGACATGGAAACAGCATACCCTTTGGATTAGGCATGTTTTTGATTTTCAAGGTATTTGTATGTCATCTGGTTTTAACCATCCTGAATGACAGTTAACAGTAGCACCTCACTTATGACTGAATAAGCCTTTCCAGGTCAGCCAGTTATGCATGGATGATAAAGACTTTTTTTTTCTATACTTGATATAGATACTCACGGGGAAATATAAAGCATGGTCATGTGTTTTGTCTTTCTCACACTCTGCCTAGGTTTGAGGCACCCTGGAGGTAAGAAAACAACAACCCCTGTGTTTTCCCTTTTCCCCTGTCTCTGTAAGATGGATAGAAAATATATGACCTGAAATACCTCCAGTATGGATCTGGACCTGATGCAATACAGATCTGGGCCAGATCTGTTATGGATTCAGTATGGAGCAAATATGGATCTGGGCCAGATCCAGTACAGATCTCAGATGGATTTTTTGAATCTGGGCCACAACTGGGTCGGCTCTGGGCCAGATGAAGATTCTTTTATGGTAATCTGGCTAATCTGGGAGAGTAGTTTGTAGAAATCCAATGTCTGTTTGTGGAAAGAGGCACAAGTTCACTCTTTTCCCAGTTAAATTTATAACCAGAGAGGTTTCCAAAATGTTTAATAAGATGAAGTAGGGGGGGAATGGAGGAGCTGGGCGGCATAAGAATTAATGTGACACTTGCAAAAAGAGTTTATTTGACAACCAAGAATTTGACAAGTTAAAGAGATATGATGTGAAAAAGCAACCTTGTAGGGGATTAGTCTACATAATAGAGATCCATTTGACAAAGTTATCACTAAAGCCAAAGTGTTTTAGAGTAGAAAGTGCATATTTACATTCAATGTGATCAAAAGCCTTTTGGCATTAAGAGCAATAATGGCTATCTCATCTTTGTGATTCTGGTATAAAACTTTAAAAAGATGATGGAGATTGATTGGTCGGGATGGACTGAATCTGCTATGTATTTTGATTTTACTTAAAATTTTCATTTCAATCTGAAGAAGTGAGATTGGTCTACAGGAGGACATTTGTAGGGGATCCATGTTCCTTCTTCAGTATCAAAGCAATGTTTGCGTTATACAGTGAACAGGGACTCGCTGGCAGCAATATCATGAGAACTACATGTGCTCATTTATGTTTTACCTGTTTTTTTCATTTTGGCTAAAGGTAAATGTGTGCCTGTGCAATTTATACATTATTATTTTCTCCACAGGCCTTTATCAGACTCTTTGGACTTGCATAGTGTAGAAAATCATAAAATATTAATTTTATTATAAACTTTTTGGTTTAACAGGGAACAATGACAACATAGTTAACAGGTTAATCTATTGAACATCGTGAGGATTGATTGAAACATAAAAACGTCACTTAAGTAATTTTTGTGGAAAATATCAGGCCCAATTCTAGGCTTGCGGTGCTTCAAAACTATATCATTCTTCTGCTGTCGTTGTGCACATCTGTAATCAACAACAAAAACACTGTTTATCAATCAGTATATACATACGTCTACAGTGATATTCAGAAATAGCCATCTACAGCATTCTTTTTATTTAATTCGAATGTAGTAGTAAACACTGAGTGTGCTGACAGAACAGAGCATACAGCGTTGCAAAACTCAGAATGTATTAGTATGGAAGAATACACAAAGCAGTGTATATATCACTACCTGATTAAGCAAAATGTGCAAAATGCATCAATACTGTAATATACAGTATAACATTTGTTTTCCACAATTCTTAAAATTGAAATACTGAGGTGTGCTATGTTTCTTACAAAGTACACACCATAACTGCTTTCCAAATGACACAAACCTTTATCTAAAATGTTTTATTTCAAATGATAAATAACAAGAGAAAAAAGAAAAACTAAATATTTGACATTTACAATGAAAACCTTTTTGCATGAACTTTATAGCAGTTATTTACATGGTTTACAAGTCTTCAGTGGAAACTGTGTGATCCTTCCAAGCAACAAACCTGATGCCAGCCAAACATTAGTGTACGTCAAGCTTGCGTGGCTCAAGCTCGAGTTGAAGAATACTATCAGTGACAAAATGAGCACCAGTCGCCATACAGTGTGCGTCACAGTTAATAGTGTTCACAACAACTAACAAACACAATGTCACGTGTAGAGATCACCAGCAAACACACAATATGCCATTCATATCCCAAGAAGTGTACATATATTTTCAACAAAGACTAGACTTATATAGAACTTATGAAGTTTTGGAAGAAGTATATTGGAATCTGTGCCCCTCCAATATGCTGGATAAGATATGAATGATGAATGACATATTGATGATGGCCCTATAGAGCCGCCATGTGTTCCTCTCATCCAATCTCCAGAGTCACTTCGTTAGATTTCCTTTACTTTGCCCAGGAAGATTTTGCCGTTGGTGTTGTGGGCCGTGTTCCCATTCCCCAGGTGTTTCCCATTGGCCACCACAGTGATAGGTTCACTGGTTGAGCCATTCAGTTTTGGCTTGTCGTCCTTGACAGGAAGTCGTTTGCCCTTTATGTAGGCCTGCACCCAAAAGTTGGAGAAGAGGAGGAAGAAGAAGACACCATACATCCAGATCAAATGGATCCACATGGGGACCTGGTAGTCACATTTCTCCATGAAGTAGTACTGGCTGATGTGTATGGAGACCAGAACAAACTGTGTCTGTAAAACAACAGGCAAAGGGCAGGTGGTTATTAAAAATCTAATATTAATATTTGTCATTTCAACACAAACAAATAGCATTTTAAAAAAGTGGACATACAAGCTGGATGGCAGTCATGTACTTCTTCCACCAAAGGAACTTCTGGAAGCGAGGTCCTGCAGCAGAGAGTCCATAGTAGGAGTACATGATAACGTGGACTGTTGCATTCACCATGGCATGGAAGGAGCCCATTCCTCCAACTTGAGGAGAAAGACACAGGAAATTATATGTTTAATTTGAGGATTTCTTTCAGTGATTTTTTTAAATGCATTTATCCCTGTTTTCAAGACCCAACACCTATGGACACAGTGTAAATTTATAAAGAATGTTAGATTGATATTATGCTGAGGAAACCTCACCAGGAGTCAGGGTGATGCCCCACCACCACGTCCAGGGCATGAAGGAGTGATGGAATACATGGAGAAATGTGATCTGGGTTTGTTTCTTCCTCAGCACAAAGAATACCTGAAATAAAAATCAGTGAAGCTCAAGTTAACATGCACACATGATATGTCACACGGGGTCAGACAAGTTAAAAGTCACAAGAAAAAGGCAAAAATGTTTTTATAGAGATGAAAATGTCCTTACTGTGTCAAGGAGTTCAATGTACTTTGAAAAATAAAATAACCAAGCCACTCGAATCATCTGTGGGAAGGAAAAGAAGAAAATAGCTGTAATCTCAAATATCCAACCGTGAACAACCAAAGAACACAAACATTTATTTGTCAAACCATAGGAACAGCCGTGAACTGAATGTAACTTTTTAAAGTTTGCTTTTCAGGCCACAACAGGTCAAATAAAGTGAATTATATAGAAGCGAATGAGGAACCATTTACTGACTTACCCTAAGAGCCTGCGGGCTGCTGGAGCGGTCAATTAGGTCACATCTCCACGTATAGGTGGTACCCCATCCAGACATCATGAACTAGGTGTCAGATACACAGCAACAGCTTTTATTAACATCGACCTTACACACAGGTACAGGGATGCGAGTCAGTGAAAAAACTCAATTTGTCAGTCATTTTTCTTACCTCATAGACTATGTAGGCGTTCAGTAAAACCATGCTAAGGTTGTAGATAATCATGGCTGTATTAAGGCGGAAAGGCTTGCGGTTTGCCATGAGGCGAGGCCCAACGTACACCGAGAGGAAGACATAGGCCAACAGGAGGGTGGTCATCTGGATGGGACTCTGCATCAGAGGGTAGTCTCTGACTCTGGCATCTGGAGAGGGCAAACACATATACACACATACACATACACACACACTCATTATCTCAGCATGTCAGTAATGATCACATACATGGATAATTAGGAGGATCAACTGTAAATTCAGTCCAGTTTTGGACATATTCATGGTGTCATTTCAATAAAACAACAGCACAAATGCTATCTTATGAGACAAAGACACTTACCAGTTCTCGACTGTAGATAACTGTGGAGTTTTAAAATGTTTGACGCAGCTTCTCGCAGCATGGTGACTGCTTCCTTTTTCTGTTCTATTAAACCCCTGAAAAATATGAGAAGACCAAAGACTCAGAAACCGGGGAGATGAAGACCTGATCTGTAAGTGAGGCTGGCTGGGCAAGGTGAACAACTAAGCCACTCGTCCACCTGCTTTCCCACTGACTGAACAAACAGGAGACAGCTGCACAGGCTCATCAAACAACCCTGAGTGGCATAATGTACACGCAAAAAAAAAATACACAGGGGCAATCTGTACAAGAAGCGTTCTCCATCTACATCAAGTGTAGTATGTAAGCTAAAATCCTCACTGTTTTAGCACTAATTCTGTGCTTCATTCAAAAGGAAATTCTTTTATTTAATTCAATAAGTCAAAATAGAAGAATTCTACAGTAGCAAAATATATATAAATGAGTGTTTGATGAAGGATTGTGAAACATCTGAATTCTGCTGTCAGTCTAAAAACAATGAAATATTCTCATGCTGACTAACAGAGCAAGTCAAACAGGTGAGGCAAAGAACTTGGCCCATATGGCCAGCCTAGCTGAGCTACTAAGATCTGGGCTGATTATGGATTTCCAGGGAAAAACAAATGAACGTGTTTAAAGCAGCAGAATGAATGCTTTGTTGTCAATATTAATTCAACACTAACCTGAATGAGTGTCTGGCAAAGGACACCAATCTAACCACAATACATTCAAAAGAAACATTTTTAGCAGAGCAGCACAGACACACATGATACTCGAGTATAGCTGGTAAGGTAACATCCCTGTGCTGCATTCGTAGAAAGTGACTCACCCGCTGAGCACAAGTCCTCAGCACTCACTCCTGAACAGCTAAAACAGGCAGCACTCAGCCCGGTGGATCCAACAGCACGACCAGTGAGAGTGATCAGGTGGAGACCAGACACATGCAAAGCTAGTCCGTGGGTGGTAGCCTCCAGCAGTCTTCAAGTGTCTAATTTAAGACAAAATCAAAATAAAAATCCAACAAGATCTGAAAGTCTCACAGGTAAGAAATGGGGAAAGACAGAGAGAAAGCAAGAGAGAGGTGTGTAAAAGTGAGAGGCTAGCTATGACAAATATGGGATTGAGCTCATTCAACTCAATTTAAACCCCAGGGCACTACTACAGACCTTGCTGGTTTCAGGACCACACCCTGTTTCAGTGCTAAGCTCCACCTTTCTATCCTCATTTAGCCTGTTGGTGATTGGTCTGTCTCATCAATGGTGGTGAAGGGGATGGGGTCAGAGAGTTGCAGGACCCTGGTTAAAGAAACCAAGACCCAGGGGAGAATAACCCCTTTGCAGGGCAACAAAAAACAATTGATAAACATGTCAGGATGAAAAAAATCTAGCCTTATGTCAAAGATGAAACTAATATGAAGCAATGAATAGACTGAAAATGTTGTAGGTTAAACATTTATAATATCTGACCTTAGTAAAAGTAATGATTTCACACTGCCAACCCAAAAACATCTGATCATTTCTCCAAAATGTATTTCAAAAAATATCCCTCAAACATTATTTGGGCTAAAGGTAAAATCAGATACATTCACAAACCTAACGTCACATCATGCGTTGCCCATCCCTTTTGCTAGGTGGCACAGAGGGGCTGGGTTCCTGTCCAAGCCTTGCTGACGAGCGCTCCTGTGTCTCTGGTTTTACCTGTTCCCCAAGCACTGGCAATGAAGGGCGTGAGGCCTGGATAGAGCTTGAAATTTAGTCCTCAACGTGTACGTTAGACCAAAAGGTTGGCTGGAATGAAAGGAATCTGTGCATGAGTGAGAGGGAGGGCGGAAGCATAACTGTCTGTTTACATATTGTTTGGCAGTTTATCACATGGTCGTTCTGCCATGAAGTGCATGCATGAAAACCACAGACATTTAATCATTAAAAGTGGAATATTGCACATAAATCTAATAATTAAAAAAGATTCGGTGAATTTTCATTTGCAAAGCTAAAGGAAAGAAGAAGTGTGAGTTTTATTCACTTTCAAAAGATCTAATATAAGTTAGAACCAAGTCATGCTGTAGACACAAAGCAAAAATACAACACACTGAGTTTTGTGCTTATATGTGATGCAGTTTAGACTCTGACAGTGCATGTGATCGGTAGTGGGCTATATTTTTCAGAGAAGCCCTAACATGTGATCACCAGGACACTTAATGGCCACTTCAAGGTGTGGCTCTCACTCTCAGGTCAAAGAAAATCTCAAATAAAAGAGAAACTGAGCTTTTTAACATAATGAACGGTTCAGTTTCAGTCACTGATCTCTGGGGAGAGTGAGGGGAATGCAGCTGTATTCACAACAAGCGTTTCTGTAGAGGAGAAGCCGCACTGAAATTTTTTTTTCTTCCAGAGCTGCTGCATTTATGTACATGTCCCTCATCAGCTGAGACTCTGGATAATAACATGCTATCTCATCCATCAGTAGTTGGCAAACTGACAAAACCTCGATATGATGAACCTCAATCAGTCCAATAAAACACTGCCTCTGTTTAGCCACTACACTGTGCAGAGGAGCAGTACGACCAGTCCTCACTGACATGTTTTTGGCCCACATTTTTGACTGATGGAGATTTGAGACATAACCTGGACATGAATGTGAGTTGTCTCCAATCACACCATCAGCTGTTTTTCATAGCTGCCATATTATTACACACTACAACACACTCCCTGTTCTTCTTGGTCTTGTGACTGTTTAACATTGACTTAAGTATAGGTTTTGCCCAATAGCAGAATTTATCACATAGAAACTAACAAACAACAGGACAACGTGACGTTGTCTGGAGACTATAGTTCTCTGCCCAGCAGCATAACCAGAGAATAGGCATAGTCCTCGAGACCAACTGGTTGTCTCCAATTAGCCAATTGTGATAAATTAGACAGGATAGATGCCTCTGGATGTGAGAGGGTGAGCATGGCTGCTAAAAATGAATGAATGATGAATGGTCTCACTAGACTAAACTAATGTAGACATGCATTTCATTTCTCAGTATGGTAGTTTATGAAATAGCAGGTAAGATTGTCACCAACAAAGTTCGTAAATTTACTTTTCAGTGACACTGACATTTTTGGAATGTGGTCTTCCTGTGTCATTTGTGATGAGACTTAACTAGATTCCACTTGTGGTTACTAATGTTGTCTAACACGCTGAGTGCGGCTGAGTATTGTGTTTCATAATATAGTATAACAGTTTGCAACATTGCACTGTTTCATTCATTGCAAGTCATTTACACCCTATCTGACCAAAAATGTGTAAAACATGTTGTCACTTTTACTGTACCAGAACGGATACACTGGAGCTTACAGAAGACGCCATTTGTCTTCATGTTTGAAAGTTCAAATGAATGCGAACACTGACTTAAAAGGGGCGAGGTTTTCCTTCTTAGCCACACTGTCCATTGAACAGAATCACTTTGAAACTCACCCATTAATATGTTAATTAGTAAAACACCAGCTTCTCCATGTTGGAAAAAAAACAAGAGATTGTTTCTAGGTGACATTATTGTTGTGAGTTTTCAGATTTTGTTCTTTAGCCTTGCTTAAGAATTTGAACTCATTTATTTAGACACTTGAAACGCATAGCAATTAAAGACTTAATGGAGAATTAACCTATTGAAATATATCCATATATCCACAAGTATAGGCCTAATTATTAAGTACCAACTTTATCTTCATCTTGAGATTAGACATAGTTTTATATATTATATAAACACCATTAAAATAAACACGTTCATGCCATAAATATAAAGTTGAATGTCTAATTTGTTGCCAGTGTTGCAGAACATTTATTGGTATACATCCAGATTTCATCCAGGGAGAATTAACTCTGGTCTTAATTCCAGTATATGAGCTGAACATTTCATCCTTTCACTTCTAGCCCAGACCATGCTGCTGCAAACAAATGTTTTTGTTTTTAATAACATAACAGAATTATTATTAGTTCGTTTTTTTTGTTTTTCATAATCTGTGTTAATCCTTTCATTGTTATATGACAAAGATCAGTCATGAACTCTACTTGCAAATGTCACCGTGTTGTATTGTATCTATATATTGCTCTTGGTGAGAGAGAAACAGGTCTTGAATAAATGTCCTCATCACTTCACTATCCTCCTAATGATGAAATAATGTTGACCACAGCAGAAAGTGAGCAAAAGTGACACACAGTGGCCAAACGGTTAACTAGAAAAAAAATCTGTAAGCAGCAATAGCATTTATCCTAATAGGTATAATTGATCATACTAAAAGTAAAATAACTTCCTCCTAACTCTGACCGTAATAACTGCGATCAGTTTGGCTCTGCGTGTTATATCAGGTCACCTTTTACTTTGAAAGGCTGCTGTTATGAAATATGTTGGCCTACACATGACATAGGCCTGTCATTGTCGTGTTAATATGGCAGGTAACACACACACACACACACAAACACACACACACACACACGTGAGAGAGAGGGAGAGATTAATCTGATAAACGTCTGACCTGTGTGGAATGAGTCCTTAAACAGGTAGCCTACATTATTTATAACAGCCTCTCTCCTCTACTTTGTTGTCTTTGTCTTTTACTGTTGAACACACTACACACAACACATTGAAAAATAGAAATAAAATAAAATAAAATAAAAAAATAAAAAAAGCTATGGAGCCTCCGATGAATGTAACTTTATGTATTTGTTTAAGATTAATTATATTGTATTTTGATGTGGTAAATAAATGAATAACTGTCACAATAACAAAGAACAAATAAAACTCCATCATACCAAGAACGAGGTAAAGCCCAGTAAGGTGTGTGTCAGTGCTGTGAGTGCAGAGTAGGACATCTATATTTATCTGCTCTGCACGGGATTAAAGGTGCGACACTTCTTGCCTCAGAACACTTATATAAACTTAGGCAGGAGATCAGGTGTTACACCTGTTCTACCTGTACTGGGAAACCCCATCGTAATGACGCACAAATGACAGTGCACCGGCGTGAAGTGTGTCAGACCTGTTACCACTGACACAGGTTTAAAAGTAAAGGTTGTGGCTTTTACGCACAAGAGTGGAAACACATGAAGGGATAAAAATGATAAAAAAAAAAGAAAAAAAAAAAAAGCTCCATCCTTCCAGAGTGTTATGGCAGGATTTACTCTGCCCGGAATTGTGAATGAAAATGTAGATGCAGTTGATTTGTCTCCCTCTGTCCGCCGTGGTGAGGTTTTGTTTGGTTTAGTAGCTGGGAGGCAGGCGTCAAACTCCTCCCAGCGGGCTTAGTCTGAGCACTAAAACCAACGCACCCAGTGAGCGCCAATGGGGAGGTGGAACAACAGGTAGGCGTCTTCTAACTGTGTCTCTCGGCTCAGTCGCTGCTGCTCCTCGGGGGGAAACAAGTGGACAGATCACACCATGAGCTTTGTTGGAAATGCGGCAGAACTTCGCCCAGTTGTTTTCTTGATAATCTGAAACAGTTTCTTTTGAAGGTAGACCAGCTGTTTTTGCTCTGACGGTCGGGCTTTTTTTTCTCGGCTGGGAAACACACACACACACACACAGAGACAGAGCTGGTTCGAAATGTTTTCTGATTAATTAATTGGAGCTCCATCATCGGAAGAATCACATACTGGTGATATCAGAAGCTGTTGCACCTTAATGTGGATACTATGTTGAAGGTAAGCGTGCTTTTTCCTCTTGGCGTGCACCAGCCTAAATGTCTTCCAAACAATTTAATGTTCATTCAAATGTTCTACTCCTTCAGGCTAGTTAAGGTTGCACTGAACAATCTAATGGTTTAATCTCAAATCAAGATAGGTCTGTTACTGCCACAGCAGCAAAATCATTTCCCTTGTCATCTTATGGTATCAGTGCTTGTTGTTGCATAATCCAAGAAGTGTAGCAACATCTTGACTGTCCCACCATGTGACTCACAACAATAACGCCTCCATCATATTATTATATAAGTTTCTGGTCTGATTTAGATTCTGGTGTCTACATGTATTTATACACCCACACTCCTTTTTATAAAAAGTATCTAGTAACAGCAGGAAGTATTAATCCAGTCACACAAGCTGTTTTTTTTGTGGTTTTTTTTGCATTGTTTCTCTTCCTGTCAGAAAAACAGGTTTCAAGATAAAATTCATTCCTTTAAAACTAACCAGTTCTCCCTACCTGCCTCTAAATAAGGGTTTTCTTCCCTCACAGCTGTCATTCTGTCTCCAGCATTAAACTTTGTTCCTCCTGGGATAAAGACGCACTGAGACGCAGCTGATCCAAAGAGGTCAGACGCTTTCTGACCCAGATCCCCGGGAGGAGGACATGGAGGTCCTGCGGAGGTCTTCTGTGTTTGCTGCAGAGGTCCTGGATGTGTTCGACCGATCGTTGACTGAGAAGGAGCTGGTGTCCCAGTCCAAAGCCCTGTGCAGAGACTACATCCTCTCCAGACTCAACCAGAACGGGCTGGGATGGTCCAAAACCGAACTCAACCTCTCTCCCTCGAATGCGGCGCTCGCTGAGGTGTCTCTGGTGCTTCTTTGTCTTGGTAAGAGAAACCTAAGCAGCTGTAAAGTCTTAGAAAAACCAGTGAATGTCAGAACGGATAAACTGTCATCTTATAGCAACACGTTCACACATTCTAGGCCGTGGGTTTCATCTCCTGTTGAACTCTGAACCTGACTTTATAGATGTGATTAGCTTTTCCTTATATTTTCAGGGGGTAGCTCAAGTAACATCAAGTGGCTACATTAAAGTTTATACTATGATTTCTTTCATTTTTAATTATTTGAAATTGTTTAGTGTCTTATTTGAAGTTGCCACAGGTTTATTAATTAGCCATGGCGTCATTGTCATTTCAAATTTAATATTTAACTGAAAGCTTAAGGTAAACATGGTTTAAACATAATTCTTTTGACTGGAAAAAACTCAAGAGTATGTAATACATTGGCAAAGGCTGCACGATCCTCCAAGTTTTTAATCATAGAAACTGTTTAGACGTTTTCAATCTGCTCTGGAAGCTCTCCTGAAGCTTTCCTCTGGATCCTGATCTGCATCAAATGGAATGAATTCTCCAAATGTTTTCACCATTTTGCAGTATTAGGAGACACAATGGAAGTGAATCCTGTGTTGTCACAATGATCCAGATCATGAGCAAGCTTTGCACCAGTTTTGAAGAAATTCTGTTCACAAACGAGACAAATGGACAGACCTGAAAACACACCCTCTTTGGAGGGGTTAAAAACTGTTGGAAAATACTATAAACTAAGATGAGCAGGACAAATGATCTGCTATAATAAGTAGAATCTTGTATTTGAGATCAAGATTAAATGGTCATTTCAGGACTTCAGAATTCAAGACTGTGCATTAGAGATGACACGCTGCAGGTCTAACACTGACTCATGAATTTATTGCTGTCAGAGCAATCAATAAATTCTCATTATCCTCCGCTGAAAGCCAGTGTGAGCTGACTGTTGTGACAGTGATATTCTCACTCCTCTTGGGTCTAAAAGGCAGAGTTGCTGCGCTCTAATCTACTTTTAGATAACAGTAGGCTGAGGATGACTCAACAGAGCTGGAGCAGATAATTGATACACGTCAAGAAACTAGAATGAACAACTCTTCAGACTTTACTTTCAAAATGATTTCCAAAATAATGTAGGCCTACTATATAATGCAAGCTATGATAAGCTTGATGTGTGTGTGTGTGTGTGTTTGTGTGTGAGAACAGCTTGAAATGGGTGATTACATCTCGAGGACTAAACTCACTTAAAACGGCAGCTCAAGTGCACCGTGTCTTTTTAAAGGATACCAGCAGAAACGTACATGTTTTACTTTGACATCCTGACATCTAAGTGACCCTCTGCCATCATAACACAACCATCTGTCTGAGTTGGTTGAGCGGTTGAATTGTATCATTGTTTGCGTAACCCAGAATGTTTAAATAACTGGTTTAAACCGAATCTGTGTTTTGGTTTTCTGTCTCATTCATTCAGAATAACTGTGGTCTTTCTAACAGACTTTTAATGCTCCTCTGTCTTTTTCGTCTGTGCTCCCCCTCTGTTACCAAGGCGACGAGCTGGAGTGTATACAGCCCAGTTTGTACAGGAACGTGGCACGGCAGCTCAACATCTCTGTTGCCATGGAGAACATGGTTTCAGATGCCTTCATCGGTGTGGCAACAGAAATCTTTTCAACAGGTATGTGGTTGTTCTGAGCCTTCGAAGGTGTTGATGACGAGGACGATGTAGCACGATCTGCCAGATCAGGAAGCCATTGACGCTTCCACTGCGTCGCGGACGAGGGATGAAGGCAGTTACTTTAACCGGGGTCTGACCGCAGTTTTTATCAGGCTCTGTTGCCTCAGAAGTGCTGTCAGCCAGAGTGAGTGGGTGCAAATCACACGTAGGTGGAGTGAGACTTTAAAACACATCATTAGTCCTACATCTAAAAAGAATCACCAAGTTTAGACACTCTTCTTGAACAGATAGCATTGACTAGTTTAAGTTATTCAGATTCTGAACCTTAAGGGCGTTGGCTTGTTGTGAACATATTCTGTATCTATTTTTTATGGCATATTATGGCCCAAGCAATAACAAATGTAAATAAAATGAATATTTAACATTAAGCTTGATACTATTTAATATAATTAAGTATTATTTATTTTTTTTTAATTATGCTCAATTTGCTCAATGCAAAACTGAATGTAACAGGCTGATGGCTTGTCATTATCGCTACTCTTTGTATAATAGACATTGAATAGTTTACTCGACAGTGAGCAGTAAAGGTTTTGGATGGTTTTTCTGTCATCACTGCACGACTTAATTTTTGCATCTATAAAATGTCACCCATTGGACCGTGGGATTGTTAGCAGGAAGTAGTGATCATGCCAGGGGCACCACTCTTTTGGTTTGGACACTGAAATAAAATACACACACGGCCATGTTCTGTTCTACAACCAGATGTCTTACTTGATCTGCTGAAATGAATAATCGCATAACTGTGGATGCAGTTACAAGAATTTGGGCAAACATCTACAGATCAGGTCACTTTTTCCATCTGGCCTTTGCCCACTTTTGGTCTTGAGTTTGGTCGCAATGGTTGAATAGTTCTATTTTTTTTTTTTTAAACTTGGCTTTAAAATTAGACTTGGCAATTTATCATAGTTCTTTTGGTTATTTCCACAGCAAATCCAGGTAGGATATTTGGAAGACTGTGGTGTGTAGATACAGATGTGTGCTCTAAAAAGGTCTGATATGAGCATCCTGAACATTCATCCTCTTGTGGCCAGTCTGTGACTAACAGATGCAGATGAAGGTGACTGAAGGTCATTTCCAGTGGGGTTGTTGGTCCGATATCAGACATGAGCCACAGGCTTGTCAGTCGCCAAACAAGGTTACAGGTGTTATGCTTAATCTGAAGAATTTGACAGATAGTCGAGTCACGTCTTAGACCCCTCCCCCCACCTTTCCAATGTCAGGATCGTGGGGGAAGTGCACAAAAACTTGACAATCTGACAATCATACCAGGTGAGAACTTCTCTCTCAAGCTCCCTTTCTTTCATTCACTCAACAACTGCTTCTGTCACTTTTTGCTTGTATGAACAAATGCTGCCCCATGTCTTTGAGGAAAGACTGTCCAACAGTGTACGCTATTACCCGCATTCATAAAATACACTGAAAGACATGGAGTTACGGAGAGAGATCAAGGAGGAGTGTGTTACAGCCAGGAAGAGGTTATAATGGCAGGCTTTTCATGCCGCCTCCGAGCCACAACCACGTTTGCCTTGAGATATATTTGGACGACAACTCATACTCATGTTTAAAGTCTTTGCCATCTTTAAATGTACATTTTTGAAAGAATAACCCGAAGAAAATTAGGTTTTAAATGGCTGTTGGATAATCCTCATTCAGTTTTGATCTTGGGAGAAGACTTAGGTTTCTGTCAGTCTGGGACTTGACTGAACTTGTTTCTTCTGGCTCTTGAACTGGTTTTAAACAGTCTTTAAACAGCAATGACATTTTGAAGTACCCAAATAAAAAGAGTGACTTTACGTCCTCTGTATGAGCCTGTAGGGCAGATTAAATGGTCTGGTCGCAGTGCAACTAAAATTGGGCACTTTTCCAGGAAAGATCAAAAATGGACTTGCTTAATATCATATACATGCCTGTGTTTTGGCTAAACTTGCTTGATTTGACATCACAAGGGTGTCATTTTTAGAAACGGCGTGGGATTCCTTCTGAGGAATAACAAACTGGTGAACCCATGCTGCCCCAGCCTTCTGGGACGGGTTGAAACCTGGATATAAATAGAAAAAAAAAACATGCAACTTTGTTTTTCCTGCTGTTCGGGATTTGTTTTATAAGTACCTTTTTTTAGCGGTTTGGTATTTGTTATCATGCCTCCAAGTGCTTATTGTGACTTCAGAGATCACTAAAGAATGATATGTCTACTGAATCCAACAACGTATCACAACCACATATTTTTTTGGAAGCGGTTAACCGGCCATCTGCACTGTGGTCTCCCTCAGTAAAATCAACATGGCTTGTCTCTTCTCCATCTATCTTCGCCTGCCTCCCACTTCTGTTCTTTCTCCTTCCGCCCTTCTCTCCTCCAGCTTTATCCCTGACAATCTTGTCTCTATTCTTGGCCTGCTTCTCAGTAGGGAGTGAGACGTGACGTACTCTGACAGCTTCCATGGACAGTTATCTCATTTAAGCTCGCCCAGAGCTCTATCCCCTTATAGCCACAGTCAGACGCTGTAGGTCAGCTCTGAGGAACAGTCATGACAATGCAAGCAAGACCTAAAGGAGGCTAATACCATTAGACCCTGTACTGCATCACTGACGGTCGTTAAAACAATCCCCGCTGCCCTGGAAACTCGACGTAGAAGTGGCCGGATGCCCTTAATTATCAGACTGGATTGTTTAGGTAAAAAGGGAGAACAAAGAATTGGCCTTTTCCAGCTTCGGGGCTGTCGACTCCCTCTGAGTGGTGAATGCAAAATCATTTTCTGAACCTGTTGACCTCCCCACGCCTGAAACTGCGTCAGTGTCTCATCCACCTCTAGGCAAAGGCAACACAGTCTCGCCCTCCTTAATTTACAGCTGGCATGTGACGCAGCAAGACCTGTTATCAGCCACATTAACACAAATGCACTGGTTTGTTGACGTTCACCTCATATTTGCAGTTTATTTCAGTACAAGGTCCACCAACTGCCCCTCATGCCCCATGTCAGGTCACAGAGCATGTAACAGACTTTGAGGAAGGAGAAACCCCAGAGCAGATGGGTGTTAGTGCTCGGCATAGACTGGGAAAGGAGTGTTTACGCTGAGATAAATGTGGCAGTTTTATGGTTTCCGGTCAGGAAACTCTGCCACCATGGAGGCTTGACACTCAGGTCTTGTGGCTAAAGTGTGATTTGTGCTTCTCGCTTACCAAACAAACTTACCCTGTGACTGCAGGACAGAATCGATATCAGCTTGAGTTTGCTGAAGCTTAAAGCTGGACACGTTTTTAAGACATATAGAGACAGCTTGCATTTGAATAGTAATTTGATTCTCATATGGTTTTTCCACAGAAAAAAGTTCAATTTCCTTGTTAAAAATTCTTAACATGACATCTACTCGTTCTCCCTCATTAAAATTGCTAATATGTTTGGATACTGCTGGAAACAAAATGTCTCTTGCCTCTCTGAAAAGTTCATTCTTCTCCCTGTATGTTCACTGGAGGTTTCAAGTGTCTGCATCACACTTGCATATTCGACGACGATTGGCTCCAAACTGTGATGATAGGGCTGAAACTAAAAAATTAGTTTTTAAATTAGTTTTTGATTAATCATTTGGTCAAAATGTCAGAAAATGGGGAAAAAGTGCCCATCACAATTTCCCAAAGTCCCAGATGACATCTTCAAACGTCTTGTTTCAGGGTAAAATAATGAAAGACAAAGAAATAAATATTCACCTTTTGAGAGGCTGGAAATTTGGATTTTTTTGCCAAAAAATTTGCTAATAATTTTCTGTCAATTGACAAATTGATTCATAGACTAATCGTTTATGTCCAAACACAGATGAATGTGAAAACGGCCTCTGCACATACATCATTCTGCACAGTCAGGATCAAACAATAATTAATAAACAATACATGAATGACTTAAAACATAACTCTGTGACGTCTGTTTTTCTTGCTGTAGGTATAACCTGGGGTAAGGTGGTATCCATGTACGCAGTAGCTGGAGCCCTGGCAGTGGACTGTGTCAGACAAGGACATCCGACCACCGTTCACATCTTAGTGGACAGTCTGGGACAGTTTGTCCGCAAGTTCCTGGTTCACTGGCTGAAGAGACGGGGAGGATGGGTAAGTGGCCGCTGCTGTATGTGCTGATAATTATGATCACTGTGGGTTTTGATGCATGAGTAGCACTGTAGAGAAATGTTGAGCTTTCCATTTGGATTTTAGAGAAATTGTCATGTAAAATGTATTATATCTTTAATTGACGTCACTGCATGATCCGGGTTTTTGAGAGGAATTTTGGACAAACTGAATGAAAATTAACATTGACATCTGAGAAAACAAGGGAGGGAAGAGCTGCTTGGATCTTGTTTCTCTGGGGATTAAAACTGGCCAACATTGTTATGCTGAAGCTAGATGATTAATTTATGTTATCTTGTTTATATATCAGAGCTCAGTGTGCTTTCATAAGCTCTGATAGAGTTAGAGGGGAGTTATGTTAAATCTGATGGTAGCCTGCTCAGAAAGGCCCAGTTATGACTGAACATTGAGAGTTCTCCTGTAGCTTCCTGTTGGTTGATCTGATGCAAAGATTTGCACTTGTAATATTTGTTATAAAGTTAATATATTGACCACTGGATTGCTGCCTTTTCCTGGAACACCTTATCCTCGTTTTTTTTCTTTTGAAAGAGACCCCAACTGAAATGGTTTGCTGTGTGTGTGTGTGTTTGTGTGTGTGTGTGTGTGTGTGTGTGTGTGTGTGTGTGTGTGTGTGTGTGTGTGTAAAAAACCATAGATTCAGACATTTTTCAAAGTGAAATGTTTAAATTCCATCTGTTCAGTGGTATTGAAATTTTCAACATTATGTTTGCAGTAGCCATTAAATGATTAATATTAGGATTCTTCTAAAATTCATTTTATTATGGTCTCATTTTTCATCCATATTAAGTTTGATTAGAATCGAATATTTAAAATCTCTCTCAATGTCCTTTTTTCAGGTGGAGATCACTAAATGTGTGGTGAAGAGGGATCTCACCCCTGAACACCACTGGCTGTCCTCTGTCATCGAGTCGCTGAAGTATTTCCTCACCACGGTCTACGTCTACATCATGAAGGAGCCATGAACAGCCGAGACAGAGCACACAGCAGTCATCGTGATTGTTTGTTTGATACAAGATTGAAATCTCAGACTTGTCAATAACAGCTGGAGAGGAGATGGTGACTGTGCTCAATGGGGGATTGAGCCTGCACGCAGATCAGATCAATCTGTTGCTGAAGGGCAATCGGAAAATGTTTCGTCAGCATCATGTTTGTGTTATCTCAGTGTCAGACGAGCCTGTAAGTGATTACCCTTCATCCAAAGAGTAGTCACCGTGACATTTAAGATCATAAATGCCAACAAGGAACAAGTTTGTCTCACGCAACCTCTTCTGTATATTTTCACTCTGCTTACACGCAGTGCAGTAAACCAGGCTTCTCCAGTGTTGTAACTGTCATGTGTGATGGTGTTCAGGGTGAACGTGATCTGTGGGAGGCTGTTCGTGCTCCTGGGATATACAGTCTGATGTTTTGATGTGATGTTCGTCTCAGAATATATATACCTACAGGAGGGATGAAAAGGTGGAAGGCTTGTGAATGAATGTAATGATTATTGATGCTCAGCTGGCTGGGTCTTTTGAGTTTTCTGAAATGTTGAGGTGTTTTCACACAGGAGAGCAATATCAGGTCGTATCAGCTGCTTACACTTCAAGGGTTTAATCTACACTATTGTACTTCACCAAAACACAGAGTGTCTCTTTCCTAATATTATCAAAAATATTGTGACCTGTACTAAAACTTTCTGCTGCAATTTTAGACACGACTGATCAAGAAACGTTGGGTCTCACTGTTGCCATTTTTGTCCAAAGAACTTAAGTACACAGGAATGGTACATACTAAATGGATATATTTTGGTGGTATTCATTTCCTTTTTAATCTGTAAATAGTTTATTTATGATTTTATTTTTTTATTTTGAGTATGACCACTGCAGTATAAAGAGAGCCGATGCAACAGCTCTTTGGGACAGTTGCGTGGTATGCCTGATGCTTGTCACTTTCACAGTGTTAACTTATAAATGTGTGTCTGAACATTTTTTTTTTAAATCCACAATAAACTTAAATCTTCACACATGAACTTACTGTTTATTTCCCTTGATATTTTATCCCTCTGAATGAATGTCAGACCTTTATAAGTGACCTTTGGTGACCTTTTCCTTTGAGGATTATTAAAATAAAAACCAAACAACACATTAAACTCTGCTGCACCCTGGTCTGTGGTTGAAAATGTGGTTTAAAAAAATGCAAGATAAAAAGATGTTGAGAAGTTGAGAAGAAGCCATTTCAGAATTAGACCAATAGAGAGGCAGCCGGATGCAGAATCAAACATGAGCTGCTGTAGACCTGTGGTATACAGAAGTACCAAGAACAGGGACATTAAATAATTTACAAGGAAGACTTTATTGTAACCGACATTAAACATCACCTCGATAAGGACAAAAAACTATGTGTAAGACCATAATTAATTAGAATAAGTACATATTAAGTGCAAAAATAGGCAAAATAATTTGTGATATTTTATTGTAGTCAGTATCAGAACATCTATACTGAAGAAACTGGCCATGCAAAGACAATCACAACCAAACTCAAGCACCATGAAACACATGAAGAAAACTCTTTTAAAGAGTCGCATTTACTAGCTGAAATCTTAACTTTAAATTCAGTGCCACTCAGTCTACAAATAATTCTCTAACTCTGAATCTCACATTCAAAAGACAGTATATTGACTACGGCAGGACAGCAGTTATTTTCAATCTTATAGTAGTGCAATGCAGATAACACTGTAACACTGTACTGTATTCATTCATCAGTGCATAATAAGCTTTATGGCTCAAACATCAAATATCTGGACAATGAATATCAACAGCGTTCTCTGAGTATAATGCATCACAAGTGAGGCCATTCAGTATAACAACTTCATGGAAACGCAGAATCATTTATTTACACTGTGTGCACAATTATTAGGCATGTTGTATTTTTGAGGATTCATTTTACTGTTGAACAAATACAGTGCTCTCGGTCAATCCAAAATGTTAATAAACCTCAAATCCGAATATTTAAGACAGTAAAAGTGAGTTTTTGGCTTTCTTAGGAGAATATCCATTTGTGCACAATTTATGGGCAGCTATTAGTGTGCAGAATTATTATGCAACTAAAAGAAAAACGAAAATTTTCACATCTCACTTGTTTATTTTCCTCTGTTAAAGTGAGAGTAACAAACAACTCATTTACAAATAAACATTTCTGACATTTCCAAAAAAGAATTCAGTGACCAATATAGCCACCCTTCTTTTCAATGACAGTCATAAGCCTTCCATCCAATTAGAGCTCTGTGCCCGTTACTGATCCAGCCACGGCCCGTCCATCTGATCCGTCAAGAGTCACTCTCATCTCATCATTCCATTAAACCTTTAAAAAATCTGTCTTCAGATATTTCTTGGCACAGTCTTGACGTTTCAACTTATGTGTCTTGTTTAATGGTGTCTTGTTTAATGGTGGTCGGATTTCAGCCTTCCTTACCTTGGCCATGTCTCTAAGCACTGAACACCTTGTACTTCTGGACACTCCAGGTAGGTTGCAGTTCTGGAATATGACGGCACTAGAGGATAATGGGTTCCTGGTATCTTCACGTTTGATTCTTCTCAAATCTTTAGCAGTTAATTTGCGTCCTTTTTTCTCAACACGTTTCTTGCGACCTGATTGACTATTTGCAACAAAACGTTTGGTGGTTCAGTGATCACGCCGCAATAGCTTAGTAATTCTCAAGATTTCTGCATCCCTCTGAAAGGCTTTTTTTTTTTTTTTTTACAATTTTTGACCTTTCAGAGTCAGTTAAATCTCTTTTTCGGCCCATTTTGTCTGAGGAAAAGAACCTGCCTGATAATTATGCACACCTTGATATAGGGTGTTGATCTCTTTAGGCCACACCCTCCCTCATTACACAAATACACATCACATCAAAAATGATGATATGGTCAAAATACTCACTTGCCTAATAATTTTGCACACAGTGTAGATTATTTTTGAATGTGACTGTAACATGAACTTGGCACATCTGTTACACTGTAGTGCCTAAACAATGCTCTGTTATTCCTGTTTGCAATGTAACATTCACCATTAATGGTTTAGTTTAATTTAATAGGTACGCTGTTCAGACACTACAACCACATTCTGCGTACCATAATCACAGATTTAGGTATGTGCATAACTGTAGAATCGATTATATGGTTATCTGACTGATTATTGATCAAGCTTTGTTTTTTTATTTGTCATTCCAGACTATGGTATTTCTGCGTATAAGAAGCCTGCCTGCTTGTTGGGTCAAGATGATCGACGGTAGGTGATGTGCAAGTGCTGCATCAGTGGCTGGTTGTCTGTTGCCATGGAAACTGTCTGCTCCAGCCTCCCATCTGGTCGGAGCTGAAACACTCTGGAAATCTGAACGATGGAAAAGAGCAGGCAAGGTCACTGGTACTTAGCAAAGATGTTATGTTTATTCATCAAAATAATTTCAAGAGAAAGGTTCTGTTGATGTTTTGTGGGTAGAAATGTGACATGGATTTGATTGTAGTGAATAAACGAAGTAGTTAGTACTGACGATTGGTGCACGATATGATGCAGGATCAGAGAATCACAGTTTTACCTGCTGTACATGTGGCTCCTTGGCAAAAGAAATTCTGGCCAGAGAGTGGGTCTGCAGGTTCAGCTGCTGCCCTGTCAGCTCCCCCTCCTCAACCTCCACCAGACCTGCACAAGACACCCACTTTAGTCTGGACTCAACACTTGTGTCTGTGTGTGTGTCTGTTTGTTTATTTGTGGAGATTATAAAGTAATTTAGCAATTTAAAAAAAACGTCCTTTTCAGTCATTATGCGCACTGTGGCAACTTAGTCTTTAAATGTACATCTTATATCACTTTTAAAACAATATAAATCAATTATGAGAGTGATTTCCTAAAATGCACGACTAAAGACAGCAAAAGAGAGACAGAACAAGCGTAAAGAGGTGTCTGACACTACCATTCTGTATATGTCTGTAAAGCAGCAGTAAAGTGGATGCTTTGCTTTCACTAAACTGCAAAATATTCCAGAAATTCAATCACAAGTGGGGACTTAGGTTACATCCAGTGACACAATCTGTGACTACCTGAGTTTTGTGCGATGATAAAGGCCACTCTGTTGGTTCCTGGCTGCACTCGAATGAAGCCACACTCCCTATGCAGAGGCTTTTTAGACTCTGCATGGAAGGCATTGAACCTGTAAACACAATGTGAGCGAGGAATCAGCTAAGGATTTTTATCATTGTTATTATCATCACTTACTTACTTACACTGTTTCCACTGTGTCTTGTACAAAGTAGAGTTACCACAACACTGCTCTACCACAGCTCTTTAATGAGCTAATTCAGCACTAATGGCAGAGCTGGTAACAAACACTTTATCTCTAGTAAAGAAAACCCATCTACTTCTCAAACTTACATCCCTTTAAACTACAGGAGAGAAGCTTAGGTGCCTTGTCTGAAAATGTCTAAGCAAGGATCCACCCCCTAAAAAATGCATCTAACTTTGTATATATTCAAAAGTTTTTACTGCCAACTTTTTAAAGAGCACCACTCCCTGAAGCGGTTGCTGATCTCCAATGGTTTCACTTCTCACCTTGCTGCAGTGACCCACTGGTTTACTCAAAAGCTGTGACAGCAGGGTTGGGTGTGGTTACATAAGTGCAACAAAGTTCAGCTCTGACAACACCTCTTGTTAAATGACTCTGTAAAGTCTGACTGCTCACGTGTTAACCTACATGAAGTTGATGACTGGTTGTCCCACGTGGCTGAAGTACAGTGTCTCTATGTAGCGGAAAGGGTTTATGGTGGGAAAGCAGCCCTCCCCAGGCTCGTCCGACTCCCAGGTACCCAGAAGCCAGTCTAAAGGGAGGACTGCTGGGTTCAACTCTGCTGCTGAAAACACAAACACACACAGTTTAAGTTGCATTATCACGAAACCACGGAAAGAAAATGAATCATAGGAGGTTGTGGTAGGTGATACCACAAATTTGGTCTTGTCTCAGTGCCAAATAATACCAAGGAATATATTCCAGCACATTAATTCATATAATCTGGTAAACAAATCTAAAATCACGTGAGGTATGTGGTATAATAATAAGATAAAACTAACGCAGTCTAATACAACAGTCTTGCATTAACCCCTCCGCCAGGTTATAAGGTTTAGTTTGTGATGAAACTGTTGAGAGATGCTGATTCAACCATATGGTTTTGGGTGCTGTTGAATGGCATGCACTATACTGAGGTGTTTCTATTATTTTGTCCACCTCATTTATTTCAACAGAAATACCTTTCTGTATAATGGAATACAGTCCAACAACACCACTACATCCTCCAGATGATCGAAGTTGAATCATCAACTCTAAAACTGAAGGCAGGATTTATATCAGGAATGTTTTGCATTAGATTTAGCTGGGTGTACCTAATAAAGTGCCAACTGAGAATATTTTTGCAGCAGCAAGGAAAAGGCCTGAAACTGCGAGTCTCTTACTTAACAGTAGGTGGCGGTAATGATGCGCATTGGTCTCAATTTGACAGAAACCAGAAGAAGAAGATAATCTATAAAGCATAAAGGAAGGTGACCGACTTTTACCAAACACTATAATAAATTATACCGTTATTAAAAAAACGTTGCATTTACCACAGCCACACTTCGACGGTCACAAAGATGGGGACTCCTTCACTGACATGCAAAGATCACAGCGTGGAAACAGCTCGGTCTGACCGGTGGCCGCTGCTATTTTAATCTCACTGAAGCTAAAGTTAGCTACATTCGTCTTCAAACAAGGTGAACGTAAACGCACCACGGTTTGTGTGAATATCACGGTGAGCTTCAGTTGGGTGTAAAAAGGGCTACAGACAGACTTGGTGACACATTTTACGTTTTCACTTTGATAATTTTCAATAAATTATTCAGTTAAAAGCTACTGTTTATATAACGCTATCGTAAGCGTGTGGTCCACCACATTGAAGCTTGTGATAGTTCAAACAAATCCTTATTAACCTAACAGTTTCAATATTTCTCTGTCTCAATTTAAAATTGAACACATAACTTACCTGTGTGACTTACAGGACACGCCATTGGAAATTTAAACTGCAGTCGAGCAAATATAAATGCATACAATGAGAAGAAGTACAGAATTAAATGCCACTAAATTAGTCCACTGCGACAGTATTGATCTAGTGTGACCTGACGTACACTTAAGAAGAAACGCCGTGGGGAATCATGGGAAATGTAGTTAAGACAGTTAAGCACAAGCTAACCTTTAATAAATATAACTGGCGTTAACATTTATTGACCTCTGCAGCTATGTCTTAAATAATGTCTTACTTTTTTCACACATTGAGGCAGGAGACTTGTTTGATAAAATAAAGCACACTTTATTGACATCTTTCAGAGCACTCAGCATGGGCAATGTGACAAAATCCGCTTTTTTAATTTCAAAACTAGCCTACTTATACAATTAAGGCGTATGGCCCGTGTTTTATAAAATCTCTGCAGTGAAAAGCACATATACATTCCTTTAATGTATGCACTATTCCAGGTGTCCTGCCTGTGGGGACTCTGAAATGTTTTTTTTTTTTTTTTTTAAATCCCTAATGAATGGTCATGGGAATCTGGCCTCTTAAGCCTTGCTCTTTTTGCAGTTCTTGAGAGCGTCTGCCAGGGCGTGCAGTGCCATGTCAGCATTAGTCTTCTCACAGTTGTATCCCATCAATCCAATCCTCATCACCTAATGAAAAGAGCAGTGGAGAGTACAGTACATCAGTGTCCACAGTGACTCAGCAGCATGATTCAGAAGGCTGTAAAAACACCAGACTGATGACGTCGCTCCTGTTAGGACTGTTTAAATTAATTTAAATGGAATTGGAATATTTTCATGTGAAAATCAATCTCATGTACCAGGAGATGTGTTCATAAAACATTAATCTCAGCACTATATCTGGGTTTGTTGTGTTAGTACACTTACTGGCTAAAACATCATCTTACTGCTGCTAAGACACGGGGAATGATGCTTCTATCCAGATTAGCTACCATCAGATGAAGACCATGACTGCAATGTTTAGAAATGAATTTGTTTACTGTTCAGGGATGAAATACCAGCAACAACTCACCATGCCAATGGAAGGGCCCAGGCCACCGGTCATCTCCATCTGGTGGTGTTTCATGATGTAGACCAACAACTCCCTCCAGTTGTAGCCGTCAGGGATGGTAATGGTGGTGACGGAGGGAAGCCTCAAATCCTGCAGGACATGTCACATTATCAGAAAAATGCCTGTGGTCACAACAGGGCAACACCAATGAGGGATGCTGACACAATAATGTTGGTTAGTTGTCTTACAATGCAAAAGCTTCACATTTCTTAAGGGCTGCACACTCTAATATTTATCATTTTTATGCATTACCTTATCCAATATATATTTCTTTCTTGGCTCAATATATTTGTTTAAATTGTTTTTAATTAATTCTTTTATTAGTCTTAAATTCTCAGGTATTCCGTTCTAGTTTTGTATGGCACCAGAATATTGTTTTGCAGCATGTCTTCCTCACCCTTTCAGGAACAAAGAGTTTGAGGCCCAGGTCTTCCAGTCCTCTGTACAGATAGGCTGCCACCTCCTTGTGTTTCTTCCAGGACTCCTCCAGCCCCTAGAGGGAGACAAAGGTCGATGCTCTTCAGTTACAACCAGACAGATTAAAAAGTGAGGGAAGGTGCTGGCAATGGACGGTGAGTGCAAGTTCTAATTTGTTTGGTAAATGTTTCAGGTGGTGAAAAGTACCATCATCCCTGTTTCAAAACAAAGACTGTGAATAAGGTCCTGATATCAAGAAAGCTTTTTTTCTTTTTTTTTTATAAGACTGAATGATTTCTGAATGAATTAATTATAAAATAGCCTACAACCTCAACATAGAAAACGATTCTAGAAAATGTCATTTTTCTTTCAGCAAAGTAACGACAGAAAGTGGTCGATTGTCCATTTACCTTCTCAGCAAGAATGGCCAGACTCTCTCTCAGAGCGAAGAATCCAGACACTGGACCAGTGTGGTGGTATCTAAAACCCAGAGCAGACTTGAGTAAATATCATTCTCATACTAAACATTGGTGTTATCGACTGATATGAACCTTTCTAAGCACAATGACTCACAGGTTTTTCAAACTTAAAATTTAATTTAAAATTAATTCCAGTTAAAGTGGGTATGAGGAGAATAAAGATGCAATGGCTCTTGAGCTTGTAATCAATGGACTGTAGTTGACTTACGCTCTGGCTGGTTTGCCATCGCAACCCCAGTAGTTGGACAAATGTGTCATGTCAAAGAGGTAGGATACTGGTTTTGTTTTCCTGTTAAACATCTTGTGGCTGTGAGGGGGGGGGGGGGGGGGAGNGAGACAAAGAAATTGTGGTGTTGCTTTAAACACTTTTTTTGTTCTCAGATGTGACAATTTAGGATCTACATATATATTGAAACATGCATACAGGTACACACACCACAGAGTCCCTCCTTACCATGCTCTGTCATTAAAAGAGATGGGGGCTGTGCCAGGAGGCGCATTCAGAGCTTTCTGAGAACCAGTGTACAGGATGTCAATATCTGGGAGCAGAAGAGGCAGATCATGTCACGTGCAAGTGCAAAGTCGCAGGCAGGTAAATTTAATCTTTCATCATTTCCTTACTTTGCTTGTCCATAAAAATGGGTGCTGCTCCAAGCGAAGCAACAGTGTCGACCAGGAAGAGGCAGTTATGTCTGCGGGAGGTAGACGGCAGTGAAATGAATGACATTATGATTTGTAATTACATGTAACCGTTTGTTTTATGCTGAGACCGACACAGAATGATGAGCCTCACTTTCTGCAGATGTCTCCAATACCATCGACTGGGTGACAGAGGCCAGCAGAGGACTCTCCATGTGTGAGGAAAAACAGGACAGGCTTGTGTTTCTCTATGGCCTACAGACAGGAGTAAGAATAAAGTTTAATAACATGTAACACAATGTGTGTTCTAGTCAATGTTTATGTTTGATTTTGTTTTGTAGTCATGTAGGGAGTCTTGATAGTTCAGCCCATAGACTGCATAAAGTGAAGAAGCAGTCTGCTTCAGGGATATTGTGCCTACCTGTTCAATTTCCTTATTAGTGAAATATCCTCCAGGTGATTTTACCATTCTATGTACATTGGCACCTAAAGATAAAAGAACATTGATGATTAAATACTGAACAGATAGATAGATAGATAGATAGATAGATAGATAGATAGATAGATAGATAGATAGATAGATAGATGTTGAAGTGTTTCTATTCTCTTTTGAGACCCAGTGAATGCGTGCGTAAAACCATGCGTAAAGACGCACCCATTCTCTCTGCAATTTCTGCAACGCGCTCTCCCCAGATTCCGTTGATGGCGATGAGCACGCTCTCTCCGGGCTCCACCGTGTTGAACACCGCACACTCCATAGCCGCGTGTCCGGAGCCGCTCATAGCTATAGTCATGTTGTTCTCTGTCTGAAAGGCGTACTGGACCCCTCTCTTAATGTCATTCATGATCTAAGACACACAAGAAGAAAACATGAAAAAGACTTATTATTTTATTACTTATTCTGACAAGTTAAGTTTTAGTTTAACTTGTCAGATATGGTCACCAGGTACTGAGTGATTTTACTGTGTGTATAAATAGTGGTCTGAGCACAGTTACGCACAACTATTGATCTTTGATCACATGGTCTGTTTACAATTAGGCCTAAATTGGAAAAAGTAGAAAATACGTTGCATTGGATTATTGTGGTATAATTGTTAACATGAATAATTGGTGGATGACAGCAAACCTTTAAGTTTTAAGTTAACCATTAAGTTAAATGTAATATTTTACTAAGAGTGATAATTCTGCATTCCGAGTTTTACGTATAGTCACAAGCCACAAAATGGACCTGTATCTCCAAATTGTACTCAAGGTCAGTATTCGAGTAGTTATTTTCACCATAAAATAATTTGAATGTATAATTCACCTCTGTTTATTAGAGTCTGAGTTTCAAACTTACCTCGTACATTTCTGGGTGCAGGTGACCAATTATTGGCTTGCCCCCTGCTGCTAAGATACGTGGAGGAACGTTTGAGGGTCCCGGTCCGAACAGGTAGCGCAGTGGAGCTTCAAGCGGCCGGAGCATGCATGCCGGTGGCGGGATGGTGACGGAGGACATGGAGCGGTCCAGGCGCTGCAGCAGGGGCGCGCTCCTCGCGGCCAGCGGACTGTCGAGGGCCGCTGCTGCCTGCTGGGCGAGCAGCGCGCTCCGGCTGAACAAAGCCCGCTGCATCACGGCTGGTGTCTTGGTCCCTGAGATGCCTGCACCGACTGAGATCACCACCGACGGACAAGAAGACTGAATCTGACTGTGAGTTTTGGGCGAAGGTTTAAAACAAACAGGTCTTTGACCTCATGGTCGCGGGGCGGTGTGCGTCACTTGACTCAGGGTTGGCAATAAGGGGAACAATGGCATATCAAGTCAGAATAGTGAATGAAAAATTACAAAAGAAAACTGTTTTATGTTGTAGATTTTTTTTTGTTAACTTCAAAGTTAAAAACATTTTAAACTTTGAATATAAGAAAATAGTTGAACAGCCTCTGAACATGTGGTTATCAAGGCCTTTGTAGACTGTACACAATAGAAATCCTGGTGAATTTTATTATTCAGCCAACACAGTATCCACGCTTTAATTGTTTATGTGACATGCAAGCGTTTTTAACCTTTTCCAATCCAATATTTGAATTTGTAAACATATGTGTTCTGGGAAAAGAGCCAACAGTGCATGTTTTGTCACAGTGTAGATCCACTAGGACTGGTTTTTGTGACTCATTTCTGGTCTAGATCCACAGCACCTGACTCTTGGGGAAAAACTAGGACCTGCACGTTGCAGCTTGCAACCGGTTCAGGTTAGTTTGCAGGTGGTTTGTTGATTTTTGTCTGGCCACTCCACTCACTTCAGCATTGGGTTTGTAAAGAGGAGTCTCCTCTCAGAGAACCAATCTGCTCTCTCTGAAAGGAGGGGGGGGGGCAAATATACAGCCACAAACACACCAATACACACACTTGTACCAGTACACACATCAATACACACTCCTGGAAACAGTCCAGTTCAATTGTATAGCAGGACTTTAAAGTAGTTTCCTTGTAAAATAAGATTTAAAAAACATTAGACACATTGGTCATATGAGATTTTATTCTGGTCTATGCTATGATTGTTTAGTAAGTGATGGTGAAGATGTTACACTACTGGCTCAAAGTTTTTTCCCCACACAAGATAGGTGGGTAGAAGAAATTTTTTTTTTTAACATAATTTATCTAGAAATACAGATTTTATTCTTTTCACACCAGACATCAGACCCCTCTGTGCCTGACATAAGAAATTTCCATTGGGTTTTGTAGGATTTATTTTTAACATGGCCACTACAGTGTTGATTAAGTGGCTCCTCAGTGTGGTCAGAAACACACTTTGACTGCAGGCCGTGTTGTCAACCTCTAACCACCTATGCGCGATCAGATCGTATCATGTCCTCATCTTGTTTTGGCTGCTTCACACCTGTCTTCCAGGCCGCTTCGCTGAGGCCTCGTCACTTATTAATTTAAGTGTCAAGTGTGTGCAAGGCTCTCAGGAATTCTGCACCGTTATTGTGGCTCAGCAAATGTCTCATTAGCAGAATTCCTGTACACTGATATTTCCTGATGTTTCATGCTCATTTTCACACACTTTCACCACACTTTAACACTATCTAGTTAAAGTGTGCACACAGGACTTTGAAAACATATCATGTATATATCAATTATTAGATATCATTGGAATGCTTTTTTTTTTTTTTTTAGGGATGTTAAAACTTGAAAGGAGACCCAACTCCACTCTCCAAACTGTTCAGGTCAAACATCTACATTCAGATTTTACAGTAATGTTAGAGAAAAATCCTGATGAAATGGGGATTTTGCTCTACTTTATGAATATCCTCACAATCACAGCAGGACACAAAATTTTGAAAGCTGAAAAATCAGATTTGTTATTTAACTGTTCATCAGTAAGTGAGTTTTTTTCTTTTTCTTTCATCTGTTATGTCACAGCAGGATCAGCAGAAGGTGCCCCTCTCTCAGTCTGGACTGGTCAATAATTACACCACTGGTAAATAAATGGGACTCTGTGTTACCGTCTCACTGGACTTTGCTCTGGACTGAAAACTCAAAATCTACCAAAACAGAGTAAAGGAGGAGGTGCCTGGAGGAGATTGACGAAAGGAGAGACAGGCATACATACACATCTGTCCACAGGTGGCGTCATAAAACTGTCAATAGTGCTGCTATCCACGTTCAATGATGCATTATTTGGAGTTTCTCATACTTATTAGTTATCAAGTAGTAACCCTTCCACATGATGGCACTGCAGTGTTGACACTGTATACATGGATTAAGATGTTGATTTATGATGATTCTTGTCAAAACAAGACAAAATTAATAGGTACTTTTCAAATAAACACCCACTTTCCCGGGTTGAACCTGGAAAATGGTTCTTTATTTGAGAGCGTTATCACAGTGTCACAAAGTGGAGTCAGTCCAGAAAATGTCATGTAACGTTATGTTACATATTTAGAAGAAATTGATTCATGTGTCAAAACATTAGAGCTTGAACTTGAACAGTCATGCACAATGTCTGTGTAGAGGTTTCAAAGTCTAAACAGTTACAAAAGTAGATTAAATATAATTCCCCGACAAGATCTTAAGGTGAGGTTGATTGGTCAGCCTTAAAGGTTATTTCTTGTTTTGCAATATCCAGCAAATATCCGTCTGGACAGTGAATGAGTTTTACTGGATAACTAAATCTCAACCACAAAGTCTTTTATTTACCTGTCAGGAGGCTGGTTGTGTGCTTCGGTACCTTTTGTTTGCTCACTTCAGAAAGGAAACTGCGGCCAATATTATCTGTATGTTGTGTGGTGGCTGTCTCCAGTGGTGGAAGACGAACTCAGATCTTTGACCCAAGTAAAAGTACTAACACTGCTCTGCAGGAATACTTCATGACAAGTAAAAGCCCTGCAGAGAAAGTGTTACTAAGTATAATCAGGAAAATGCACTTAAAGTATTGAAAGGAAAAATAGTCGATGCAGAGTACTTTTTTAAAATGGATTAATCTGCTGATTATTTTCTCGATTAATTGATTGGTTGGTAAAAATGGACAGACAGATTATGATGGACTTGGACAGTTTATGAGACAATGGGCTCCCACCCCTCCTATATAGGATCTCCAGACTGAAAGATACACAAGCCATTTTGTGTCTCTTTTGTTTTGTGTCTCTTTGTTGTTTCCTGTCTATTCTTGCTCATTTTGTGTCTTTCTGTAGTCACTTTGTGTCATGTCATGTTTATTTTGTGTCGCTTTGCATCTCTTTGTGGTCATTTTGAGACAATTTTGATTCTCTTTTAGTTGTTTTTAATGTCTATTTTCAATTATTTTGTGTCTCTTTGCTGGTCTTTTTGGTGGATTTGTGTCTTTTTGCATGCCTTTCTGGTGTTATGACTATTTGTGGTCATTTTTACTGGTGTTATGTCTCTGCGTCTCTTTCTGGCTGTTTTCAGGCTCTGCACTTGTTTTGCATCTCTTTTAGTTGTGTTGTGTTTCATTTAGCTTGTCTTGCATCTCTTTGCGGTCATTTTATGCCAGGTCATACTCATTTTGTGTGTTTTGTGTCCATTTCTTTTACTCATTTTGTGTTTCTTTGTAGTTGTTTGACTATAAAAATGTTAACAGTCACTTCATACAGAAACTCTGGTCTAGGGGCCCCCTGACTCCTATAGGGCCCCTGGGCCTGTTCCTTGTGGTCCCCCCATGGTTATCTCCATCCTTGCTCCTCTCCCTCTCCTCCTCTGCCTCTGTGCTGCATCGCTCTGCCTCATGGCTGCCTGCTGCGGATGATGATGATGATGCTGATGATGCTGGAGCTGATGTCACAGCCGCCCCCCCCCCCCAGCTTCCCTGCACACAGCAGCACCGCCATTTTCCTTCCTCTCAGACTAACTGACGGACAGACTGGTGGCGGGCCGCCGGAGCATCCTGCACCCATCATCCTGTTTATCCATCCGGCCCTCGCTCCTCCTGCCCCCTGTCTTCCACTCTTTTCTAATTGACGCACCGCTGTGGTCCACACTCAGCCCGCCCTGCTGCTGCTGCTGCTGCTGAAGCTGAGGCTGAAGCTGAGGCTGAGGCTGTCTCCCCTCCCTCTCTTTCCCCGGCGGATTCTCCATGTATGGATGCGCTAAGGGAAAGGATGCTGTAGGCTGACCAAAGCCAGAGAGAGACACACACAAATACAGACTGGTGAGGAGATTCGACAAGGAGGAACCGGAGGATCCTGGCGCTGTTGTGAATGGGCAGAGGATTCACCCTCTGCGGTCGACGAGTCTCGAGTTGCTGAGGTAAGACGCGGATCCTCTGAGATGTTTTTCACGGCACGGCATCGGCACTGAAGGGTGTTACGCCTTGGCGAGGAAACGAAGTGTGTGCGTGTGTTTGTAATTCTGAGGCCTTGTGTACATTAGAGGCGATAAATGAGGACGCTGCGTCAGGATGTTGAACGTTTGATTCCCCTGCTGTCAACAATTGTCTTTTAAAAAGAAACCCCAGCTAAATCCACCTTAAAAACAAATGACATCACTGTCACTGTGAATCGGCCCGGTGAACATATGAACTCAAACAGCCGTAAATGTCATTTAAGCTTTTAATAACGGGAACTGACCTCCTTTCTGACGCAGTGCTGGATGATTTGGTGTCTGTGCCGTTTATGTTTACGCGGCCTGTCTTTGAGGTGCGGCAGGCGAAGCAAGATGGAGGAGGCAATATTTACATAGGTTATAAATACTCATTCTTTACCACACATTTCTTCACGAATTCAGTATCCGTGTCCTTCACACACTTAAATGGAACTTATAATATCTTTAAAAAAAAAAAAAAACGATGTTCTGGAGCAGTTTTGTTATTCATCGGTTGAGGTTGGATGTAGATGAATGTGTGCGGCGCGCTGCCTTGAAGCAAATATACTGATAAAAAATCCACCTAAATAATCCGGTCATGGACAGAGAAAACGTAGGAGAAACAGCAGTAGTGAGAGGAATGATTATGATTGTTATAAATAAGAGAGGAGGGGGGAAAAAACGCCCGCTGCTAGTTTCATAATATGGTGTTGTTTTCTGTGGTGTGAAGCAGCGAGGAGACACCGTTTCCACCACAAGGCCCTCAGCCGTGATAAATGAGGCAAGGGGGATGATGCCCGAAAGAATAAGCAGCCATTTTACAGTAGAACAGGAGGGGATGCTGATGATCTTCCTGCAAAATGATGGTCCAGCCATTTAGTCAGCGTGGTTTAGGAGCAGTGAGTCTCTGCCTGGAGCCCAAACTGAGTGATTCAGGGCCTGAAAATGGAGGATGTGTCATGTTAAGTCTCAGCTTGGTTGCCCAGGACAACATTCCCCCTCCTCTCAGTATTGAATTCTAAAAACTATTACAAGCTATTTAGAATTTAAATGACCTCTGTTAGGTAGGCTGTTTCACCATCTTTCATGATGTAGAGGTGTAATGATACTCTGTCCTGCATGTCTGCTCCTGTCGCTGATAAATCCAACAAATACCTCTCCTCATCTACCTGTGCAGGTGCCAGGTGTGCGTCTGTGCAGCCACACGGATCTCCAGCTCTTCCGCTCGCCCACGCACCCACCTGCATCATGGCGGCGGCGTCAGTGAAGGTGGCGGTGAGGGTCCGACCCTTCAACTCCAGAGAGATCTCGAAGGACAGTAAATGCATCATTCAGATGTCGGGAAACACCACAAGTGAGTAGGAATATAATTGTGTGTTTTAGTGTGTTGGGAACAGACTGCAGAGTCGTTTGAAATGATGTGGCTGTAAAATATAAAAGCTTCATTAACACTGGTGTGGATCGGTGACTCATGTGGATCAGGTGCTGCACAGTTTGGTCAGCACACATTGTTTGAACTGTTTTGGGAGTAAAGGAAATGCACTTCAATCCTTGAGACAGAGACTGAAGTTTTCATTGATGTATTTTAATGTTCCTCTTGATTCGGTTAAAACCACCATTGTGTAGAATTGGAATATTTCCATAGGTTGGTGACTTTAAAAAGAAGTAATTGTCCCATAGTTTATCAGAGTGAAAGCAACAATTTTACCCTGGTTTGTCTAATTTTTAAATTATGAACAAAAATATTTGTAAAAGATGCTACATCACATGAAACGTTAGACATTCAGGGGCTCAAAAGAAAATGCACATTTGAATAAATGCATCATGAAATATGCTGTTATACATGTTATGTACATGCAATGCACCAAGCATATGTAGTGTGTAAAATACTGCAGTCATGTGTTCCTTCCTTTATTTATAACTTTATAGCCACTTTTTCCTTTCATAATATTCATTGTCTTTACACTCAAATACAGGATTAATCAGTGAGCAGAGAAATGTAACTGAAAACTGAGAAAACATGCACAGCACAGAAAATCCACTCGTCATGTAACTGTCCAGCCTGCTATAGCTTGAGTCACAACATGTTCACCCAGCAATGCTTTGACTCTCTGGTCCTGTTTTATTTATTTATTCATATTCCTGTGATCTACATTGAGCCAAGTTTAGCTTTTCACCTCAGATATTTGTATCGTAGGCAGCTTTGCCCCCCCCCCCCCGGCAACAAGAGTGGGCAGGGAGGCACGCAGCACGTTGGCAGCTATAGAGAGGGAAACAAAAGCTTCAGTCAGGCCTGAAGCCCGTCAGTGTGTGTAGGATGTAGCGACCGCCACAGCTCTCCGCTCTCTATCATGCGAGCTGCAGGGACCAAAAAGACCCCGTTGTTCTGGTTGAGCCCAGACTTGGGGGTCAGCTGATGCAAGTGTGTGTGTGTTTGTGCCCGTTGTGCCTGTCAGTGTTTTTAATGACCTCATTACATCCAGAGAATCGAAACTTGCATTATTTCAATTCATTACCTCCACTGACTGTGAATGTGAGCGTGTGAGTGCTCGCCGCTCTTTCCCTCCTCTTATATTTGGTGTTGTTTCTGCCTGAGCGTGTGTTTCAGCAGGACACTTCTGCTGCTATGTTGAACTTGTCTGCAGGGGGCGATACAGTGGATTCAGTCTGCAGCCAACAGAGCATCTGCTCCTGCTCACTTCTTATTTCATATTCTACTTACACTGCACCCCTCCCCTCCCTAAAAAGGGATGACTGTGCATTTAAACGTCCGGCTGTTGATACTAACTGAAGTCGAATAAGTCATCTCTGATCTGTTAGGATGTATTAAATAAGGATGGTTTGGGAATTTAAATGTATTTTATTTTATTTTATTCCGTCATAAACAACATATATATAACACACAAATATTCATTAAAAAAGAAAAGAAGAAACAAAACAAAAAACGAGGTTAAATATAATATGGGATATATAATAGGAGAGAGAAAATATTTATCACAATAATATTAAATTCAGTATGAATTAAGATATTTCCACAGTCTGGAGAGCTAACAGCGAATAGACTGATAATGATAATTATATAATAATAATAATAATAACTGATCTGTTTTCCTTTGTTTTAGCGATCCTGAACCCCAAACAGCCGAAAGAAAACAAGAGCTTTAACTTCGACTTTTCTTACTGGTCTCACACTACGGTGAGTTTCATGGCATCATTTCAGTTTTACTCCTCTCAGGAAGTAAACACGTGTGCAGTACTACTAGTCAGGTAGGAAAATGAATGACTTGCTCGAAAACGAATCGCCAATAACTACTGGAAAATAATTGATCTGAAACTTTTTGTGTGTGTTTTTCATGCCGCGTCCCGCTGTGAAAAACACTGATTGTCTGTCTGTCTGTCTGTCTCTCTCTCTCTCTCTCTCCTTCTTTCGTCTTTCGCGTGTGCAGCCTGAGGACATCAACTATGCGTCTCAGGTGCAGGTGTACAGGGACATCGGAGAGGAGATGCTGCTTCATGCCTTTGAGGGCTACAACGTGTGCATATTTGCATACGGCCAGACCGGAGCGGGCAAAAGCTACACCATGATGGGACGGCAGGAGAAAGACCAGCAAGGAATCATACCCCTGGTAATATATTGCATACAAGACAAAGGATGTAAACATTCGTAGTGAGGAAGCAAATACTCAGTTTATTTGTTAAGAGTTCATGTCGATGTGACAGAAACGCAGCCGTAATGATCTTTTGATTGATGATGTTTTTTTTTTCTCTTTAATTTCTGTCAGAATAAAATCAATCCATCCTCTTTTTTTCTAGCTGTGCGAGGACCTCTTCACCAAGATCAATGGCAGCAATAACGACAACAGCATGTCTTACTCCGTGGAGGTGAGTGATGAGTCCGCACAAGTTTGAATTTCTAAACTTAAGAATATCAAAGACCTCTTAATGAATTAAGTTCTGATCTTCTTGGACACCAATGTGAGTTTTTAAGATAAATGAAAGGAAAAAGGAATATTTCAGAGGGGCAGCCGGTCCTGTAATAATATTATTGTGTCAGATAGTCAGAAGGTAATTCACCTGATTCCTAATCTTTTATTGCCGCAGGCCAGGAGTAACCAATTAGTATTAAGAACCAATTACTACCCGATTAAATATATTTTATGACATGACTGCCTCTTTGCCTCCTCCAGGTGAGTTACATGGAGATTTATTGCGAGCGTGTGCGTGACCTGCTGAACCCGAAAAACAAAGGAAACCTGCGTGTCAGAGAGCACCCTCTGATGGGACCCTACGTTGAAGATCTGTCCAAACTAGCCGTCACCTCCTACAACGACATCCAGGACCTGATGGACTCTGGAAACAAGGCCAGGTGACAGAGCTAGCCCGAGTGTTAACGCTGGATTAACCAGTTGATCGGCGGATGTAGCCTAATAATGGGTTGTAAAGATGAACAAGATGAGTGATTTGTTTGTGGTTAAATTTGTTCCATCAGTGGATGGAATAATGATCGATGGACACATATGGATGAGTCAGCAATACGAACTTTTTTTTTTTTTTCCAGGACTGTGGCTGCTACCAACATGAACGAGACCAGCAGCCGCTCTCACGCTGTCTTCAACATCATCTTCACACAGAAGAAGCAAGACATGGAGACGGACAACACATCAGAAAAGGTTCTGACGCCGAGCTCCGCTCACAGTCACGTCTGAGATATCGCCCTGTCTAGCAGAGATATGGTTTTTCCGGCTTCTTAGAAAAACAAAATCAATAAGAACTTTCGTTTTCGTATTCTGACACTTGTCACAGCTACAGCGGAGCTGCTATGAGGCAGAAATGATTTTATTACCTTTTATGACCCGAGTCGGGCAGTCTGCCCTGCTGTTATCTGATCGACGTGTTGTGGTATTGATTGATAACCGCTCATTATTTACTGCCACTTCTCCCGGTGCAGTTTCAGGTGAAATGCACCAGGTTGTTAATCTTCTTCGTTCAGACCAGTTTTAGGAAAAATATTTTCTGTCGTGGTGCAGGTCAGCAAGATCAGCCTGGTGGACTTGGCTGGCAGCGAGAGAGCCGACTCCACCGGGGCGAAAGGAACCAGACTGAAGGTGAGAGGAAGGTTGTGGTTATGGTATTTATGCATACAGGGTGGAGAGACTTTTAATAGTAATCAAATCAAAATTTGCCCATGAATAGAGGGACAAATACGTCAAATAATTGTTAATTTATTTTTATTTTTGCAGGAAGGAGCAAACATCAACAAGTCTTTAACCACACTGGGGAAAGTTATTTCTGCTCTAGCTGAACTGGTGTGTTTTTACACTTGCCATCAAAGATATACTGCTGCAAATTCATATTTCTTGTTCTGCAAATAACAAATGTTGCTGTTTCTCTTCCAACCGTCAGGACACAGCTCCAAACAAAGTAAGCAACAACATCTACCAGAGCTTTGAAAAGGCAAATAAGATTTACTGTGTATTGTTTCAGGGTCACTAACAAATGTATTTGTGTTTATTTTGTGAGCAGAATAAGAAAAAGAAGAAGGTGGAGAGTTTTATACCTTACAGAGATTCAGTTCTGACCTGGTTACTGAGGGAGAACTTGGGTACGCAAACAAATGATTAAACTTTCTTTTTTTTACCACAACAACAATTTCCTGTGTCTGCTAAAGCTTTGTCTCATGTTGTGTCTTTTAGGAGGAAACTCTCGCACAGCTATGGTGGCTGCCCTCAGCCCTGCTGATATTAACTATGATGAAACCCTCAGTACCCTCCGGTGAGAAAAACATCAATAAAAAATCTTTGTAAAGATAATGGAAGCAGTCGTTTTTCCCTGGGGGAAAGCATTTCGAGGATACGGTCACACTTTATCCATAAGGAGATGAACAGATAAGATGTTGGAACATTTTGTGCATATATTTGCATATTTGAGGAGAAAATGGACTTTACATTATGTAGCTCAGTAGTGTTGCATCACTAATGCATCCTTATAAGAGCCTGCTGACGCTTTTGCATTTTGCACTGATTGTATAGTGTTTTTAACACGTAATCTCTGTAATATTTTATTCTCAGCATTGGACTGTACAGTGGCATCCTTCTCATTTCACATCTCATATTATCATTAGCTGGTGAATGTGATTCAGTATGCCGAGCCTTATAATCACGCGTTATAATTTCACTGCTTCTGTCCCTCCAGCTACGCTGATCGGGCCAAACAGATCCGCTGCAACGCTGTGATCAACGAAGACCCCAACAACCGCCTGGTGCGTGAGCTGAAAGAGGAGGTGGCTCGCCTCAAGGACCTGCTGTATGCACAGGGCCTGGGAGACATCATAGAGAGTGAGTGTGACATAGGGAAACACAACGGTCACTAACAGAAATGCACATATATAGGCTGACACACACACACACACACACATATGCAAACACATAAGCACAAACCTGCGTTTACAGTTCTTGTGCAGGTTTATTCTCTCTTTACATTTAAGGCAGTGTCTCTCACACACAGTCTCTTCTCTCCTCTGTCCTATCAGCGTATCGCTGCACCGGCCCCGTCATCACTGGTTTGAAATGTGTGTATAACTCTTAGCAAGCCTGCGCTTTGCAACTAATAGAAATGAATCCTGAGCCAGCCTTCCTCTTCCACCACACCAGAGACCTGACTAACTACCCCAGTTGAAGTCAGATATGACATAAATTAGATGTAAAGTATACAATGATTATTTAGAGCAACACAAAAATTACCTCTGAGGTTAAACCTTGTTGCTGTAATCCTTTAATTTTTGTCAAGAATTCTGCAAAATGGCCTCCTTTTTTCTTTTCATTAGTTCTCATTTCCATGGTAATACATGTTTTGTTTTTTTTGCTGTCTTTCTAACTTGGGAAGCTCTAACAACGTTTCTCCTTATAACACAATTTTAAATTGGCTTAAAGCTTTGCATTGTGGTCCCATGAGGACTCACTGTTTCTGCTGGGAAGCAGACAGCATCAAAGTCAGGGCTGGCATGAAACATGCTGTTTTAATGCATTTCTAAAAACCATTATTGGAGATCATGGAAGAAAGGACTGACTGGGAGGACGCCATTTTAGATTGCTGAGGAGCTCTTTTCGTTGCCTCCTGGTTCTCTGTGTGTGGAGCTAATTGAAGCTATGAGTCAGGAGCTTTGAGGCCTGCACTGCCAGGAGCTATGCTACCGAAGGCTGTGCTGAACAGTTTCGAAGACATTAAGACATGCTTCACATACAAACAAAACAAAAACAAAACAAAACAAAAAAAACTCGGGCTGTATTTGGTCATTATGCATTGTAGTGACATATATTTATTTTTTCTTTCCTTTCTCATAACATTCTCATGCTTGCGAGCTTGTCAAGTTTGTTTCTGTGTATACGAGCGTCAGAGAAAAAAAGAAGCCTCTGATCTGTAACTTTCGGTCTATTTGGCATCGGTTTGAGTTGTTCTTTTCTCTCTGTCTGCGATGGCTTTGGTAAGCAAATGACCTCTGCTTCCTTGATCCATTATTTGAGCTTTCTCTTCTTTTTTTTTTGTACTCCTCCCTGTCGTTCCCCAATTTCTTTTCCTCTTTATCCATTTTTCTGCGTGTTCCTCTCAACCCCTGATGTCTTTCCTGAATTACCCGGCGTCTGCTTGGACCTTCCCTCGTTCTGTCCTTCCTTTCCTTCCTTGCTCTCTTCCATGCAACGCCTCTCTCTCTGGCAGACCTGTGCGATTACAAGAACTTTGTGAATAATCGCCAGGCTGTCAATCAAAGGGGTGATCTCTCCACAGTGACCAACGCCATGACAGGAATGAGCCCCTCTCCCTCGCTCTCGGCCCTGTCCAGTCGCGCCGGGTCCATCAACAACCTCCATGATCGCATCTTCAGCCCGGCCAGTGAGGAGGCCATCGAGAGGCTCAAGGTAGGAAGGAACATGGTGAAATTGTTGAGGATGAAGAGTTGGGAAATGGGAGGTTAGATAATGTGCAGATATGGTGGGTGGGAATGAGATTTTCTGAGCAAAAGCAGTGAAATTTGGTGGGAGAGAAATTGATCAATTCAAGAATGAGCGGAGTCGATAATTCCAACTTGATTTTTATATATCCGTTTTAATTTCATCAACAGGAAACGGAGAAAATCATTGCCGAGCTCAATGAGACCTGGGAGGAGAAGCTGCGTCGTACTGAGGCCATTCGCATGGAGAGGTTGGTCCAAAATATTCATGCAATATTTTATGGCTTTCTAACATGTCTGTCATCCCCATGGCAATAGGGACGGTACCCGTTATTCTTTTCTGAACCTTTCGCCTGAAATCTACAGTATGTTCAACCATTTAACACCCACCTACCTTTGGGGCTGGTCCAGCCAAACTAAAACAAATGGACTGTTAGTGATTGTTAGACCTTGAAAACTTTTTGGATAGCCGGACTGTTTGGAAAGTAGGAATGCACCATATTTTGAGTCGTGCTCATGGCACGGATGTAGGGATGGAAATGTCGGTCAACGATCAGATGAATGAATCCTAACGACTTTGGTGATCCTCAGACTTTTCCTTTAGCGTCACCATGAGGTTGACAACTACCAGAGGGATTGTCATGAGACACGTTGTTCCCCTCAGGATGAACTGTAATATCTGCTGATCGTGTCATTGTCATCGGGACAAAATTGTCTAATACTTTGATTTCTGACCGAATACTACAAAACTAAAAACATTCTCATGTTTATTGTGGACACGCAGAAGTAAGTTGGTAAATATTACACCTGCTAAACATCAGAGTGTTTGCACTGTAATTGTGAGCATGTTAGCATGCTGATGTTAGCATTTAGCTTAAAGCAGAGAGCCTGTCATGGCTCTCAGGCTTGTTAAGGTTTCAGCTCTATGGCAAAAAACGTCGCTCCTAACATCCTGAAATGATACATTCTTAACAACTACAACCCTACTGTTGTCTGTAAAATCGCATGTCATGATGCCAACTGTGTGCTCTCTGCAGGGAGGCCCTGCTGGCTGAGATGGGTGTTGCCATGAGAGAAGACGGAGGCACTGTGGGTGTCTTCTCCCCGAAAAAGGTAAGGTGCTCATCACTGTGGGACAGAGGTTTGATATTTTTACAACATTTATCTGAACTCGCGCAACACTCACGATTTCTCCTTTTAGACCCCTCATCTGGTGAACCTGAACGAGGACCCGCTGATGTCTGAGTGTCTGCTGTATTACATCAAAGATGGCATTACCAAGTAAGGTTTCACTTTCCAGATTTAATCCAGATACGACGCTGCTGTCGGGGGATTTAACTCAATTTGATCATCTTATCTTCCCGCAGGGTTGGCCGTGAAAATGCCAAGACTCGCCAAGACATTGTTCTCAGCGGCCATTTTATCAAAGACGAACACTGCACCTTCAGCAGCACTACAGGCCCTCAGGGAGAAGGTAAATGCCTCACCGCTCTCCCTCTGGCTTAATATGTAAAATTATTATGTTAAGTAACATTTACATATTACAAATCAAGCCCACCATCTGTTATAGTGTATATATTTTAGATACTAGGTTTTATAAATCTTTTTTTAGGATGTGTCATCCTTGAGCCGTGTGAAGGGGCAGAGACGTATGTCAACGGGAAGAGAGTGACTTCACCCACTGTTCTGCGATCAGGTGAGTGACTGTGTTTGAAGAAAGGGAGGAAAACAAAGCACTTGCATCTAGAAGAGTTGAGATGAAGAAATGTATTGTAACACTGGGCCACAGCAAGTCTGTGGCCCAGTGTTGGGCCAAAGTCAAATCAGAAGAGCGACCACAGAATTTCAGTCACCTTGGAAAGCTTCACTTTGTTATATTGTTGCACAAGCTTTGACTTCCCTAATGTCAGCTGTTTCACCACTGTGTAACATCATCATACTATAGGGCATTTACACTTTTTTCTAATTTGAATTTTTTTTTTTAGGGAATCGCATCATCATGGGAAAGAGCCATGTGTTTCGCTTCAACGACCCGGAGCAGGCTCGCCTGGAGCGAGAGAGGACGCCGTGCGCCGAGACGCCGGTGGAGCCCGTCGACTGGGCCTTCGCTCAGAGAGAGCTGCTGGAGAAACAAGGCATCGACATGAAGCAGGAGATGGAGCAGAGGTGTGTGTGTGTGTGTGTGTGTGTGTGTGTGTGTGTGTGTGTGTGTGTGTGAAGGATGTAAAATTTATAACGATGATTGTGATTATTACATGTTGCTATTTTTTACTTACAAGTAATTATGTAATTTTCAATATCAGGCTTCAGGAACTCGAGGATCAGTACCGTAAAGAAAGAGAGGAAGCCAGTAACCTGCTGGAGCAGCAACGACTGGTGAGAGAAAGCTCCATTTGAAAACATCAAATTTGAATTCATATCGTTCCCGACATTGATGTTTTATTCCATGAAAGGTTAAAAAAAAAAAAAAAAAACAGTTTAATTTTGTATTTATTGGAAGCAAAAGCAAAATATTAGCCGACAAACTCGGCCTGGTCCTGATCTGGATCATGTGTTTTTTTTCAGGACTATGAGAGTAAACTGGAGGCTCTTCAGAAACAAGTGGACTCTCGCTACCTGGAGTCTCCTGAAGAAGAGGAGGAGCCCGAGGAGGAAGGTGATACTGTCAATTTGATCTCTTACTGGCACAAACAAGCGTCTCTCAGTTGGGCTTTTATTGGATCACATTTTCATTCACATATCAACTCTCTCGCCTCTCCCAGTGCCGTGGACGAAGCGTGAGACTGAGCTGGCTCTGTGGGCTTTCAGAAAGTGGCGTTTCTACCAATTCACGTCTCTCAGGGATCTGCTTTGGGGCAACGCCATCTTCCTCAAGGAGGCCAATGCTATCAGTGTGGAGCTGAAGAAGAAGGTGGGACGTTAGAAAATATCGTCCTTATTCAGCACAGTGACAGATGTCATGTGTTATGTGTTTAGTGTTGGGTAAACATATGACAGATTTTTCTAAAAAACGGAATTCGGATCCACTTCCAGAGGCAGCACTAACATCTGGTTGTTGTTGTTGCCTCCATAAAATCATTATAGTCTTCTCGCACCAGTGGAGATGAATCATTTTTTAAAGTCAAATTTATTTCAATGTGACTCTGGTGCTCTGAAGGCAGAGTGAAGTGTATGAAGTGTCTGCCGGGGGCCATTGTGTATTTAATTGGATTTGCATCAATGCGAGACTCTCGAAAAATAATTGATTGTCTGGACGTGCCGCAATGATTTAGCTCCGTGAGTCATTAAAATCTAACATACGGTGCAATACACTAAAAATACTGATGCCCCTCTGTCTAGCTTGTAAAAGCTGGCATGAATATGAAGATGTACAATATTTTTGATGGAAATTAAACTTTACTGCTTAATGTCTCGGCAAGTTATTGATTTCAACCAGCCCCCCAAGCTGTATGTTGTGTTACAATCAGCAGAAGATCAAACTTATGATGTGTATTATCGCTATGAAATCCCTCTGATGAAGCAGCACCTGAGTTTAATGTCTTACTTGTAAAAACAGTTTAATGAACTTAATCTGACCATATCTGACCTCTTCTTTTTGTGGTGATAGCATATATAGGAATCCTCATTTGATTTCACAGATACGACACAGCAGAACAATAACAAGCAGTCACTCATATTTCATGCCTCGTGTCGTCCACAGGTGCAGTTCCAGTTCGTCCTGTTGACGGACACCCTCTACTCTCCTCTGCCGCCTGACCTGCTGCCCCCCTGCGTGGCCAAAGAGAGAGAGAGGCGACCTTTCCCCCAGACCATCGTAGCCGTTGAAGTCCAGGATCAGAAGAACGGAGCCACGCATTACTGGACTCTGGAGAAACTCAGGTATCAGGGATCTGTCATTAGAATGGTGGACACGTGGTTAAAAGCTGATTCAATGGTCAAGATTTTTTTCATTTATGATTGTTTAAAAACATTTTGGAGTTCATATCCTTACAATCCAATACAGAGTATATGAATACCTATACACTGAAATAGAATACATAAAACTTCAAAAGAGCTACGATTATAGATGTGTGCAAAATAAGAAGCCGCATCCCTGGTTTGCGTCCTGCCGGAGACCTTTGCATGCCAATCTCTCTCTCCCTTTATTTTCTGTCATCTGTCTACTGTGTCTCTCTAATAAAGACACAAAAATAGAAAAAATACAATATATTCCACAAAAGCTATGATACTAAGAAATGCAAAAAACCATGTCATCCTTTAGAAAGGTGCTCTATTGCCATTTGGTGTCTTTACAAAATACAGTAAGAGTATTGTAAAACAACATGTTAGGATCTTTTAAACATATTACGGGTTCCTGTCTGTCTTTCACACTAGCCAGGAGCTTCCCTGTGTTGTGTCCTGGTTGATCCAGTGGTTAGGCTCACCCTCAGCATGTGTTTTTTTTTTTTAATACTGCCCCCTGCAGGCAGAGGCTGGACCTAATGAGAGAAATGTATGACCGTGCGGCAGAGCTCCCCAGCAGTGCTGTGGAGGACTGTGACCACGCCCTGACCGGAGGCGACCCCTTCTACGACCGCTTCCCCTGGTTCCGTCTTGTCGGCAGGTCGGTCACCAACTAAACACCATCAGGCTCCATTCCTCTCCTTGAGGCAGCATTCATTTAAATCCCACTCTTTTATTGCACAATAAAACACTTGCCAAAAGTGAAATGCCCTCATCACTCCCTTTCTTTCTTCCCCTCAGGGCTTTTGTGTACCTGAGTAACCTGCTGTACCCGGTGCCCCTGGTGCATCGCGTGGCCATCGTCAGCGAGAAAGGAGAGGTGAAGGGCTTCCTCAGAGTGGCAGTGCAGGCCATCTCGGGTAAGAAAGAAAAAAAAAAAAAAAACCAAGGCTGAGTATTTGTATTAACACAATCAGCTGCTGTTGAGCAAGTCATTATAGCTGTTGTGAAATGATCGTAACACTTCGTCTCACATCGTGTCTCTCTTCAGCCGACGAGGAGGCCCCTGATTACGGTTCTGGTGTGAGGCAGTCAGGCACTGCCAAGATCTCCTTTGAAGACAAGCAGTTTGAGAAGGTACTTCAGTAGTGATTCCTAATGGTTTTCTCTGAATGTGTCCTAAACAGCAGAAAGTCAGATATAATGTAAGTCATTAAAGTCAAACATCATTTAAGAGAAGAGAGGAAATGGTTGGAATATGAATTTCCGCATGTAGATTATAACATCTGATGTAAATGGGGCCTGAGCTCACTGTTTCGCGGTCTTGTTTCAGTTCCAGACCGAGTCGTGTCCTGGCACTCTGTCGCACTCCAACACCTCCCAGGAGGAGCTGCGCATTGTGGAGGGGGAAGGCCAAAACGCTGAGATAGGAATCTCTGCAGATGAAGTCAACAACAACACGTGTGCAGGTGAGAGGAGATCTGTGCAGGACATGGAAATCATGCTGGTCTGTCAATCTCGCCCGTGTGAAAAAGTGATATGTTTTCAAGGCTCTGAGATCTAAAACAAAAGTATTAAATCCGAAATGAAGAACTCCATGCCAAATTATTGGTAAAATATTTGTCTTTTTTTGTAACACATTGTACAGTATGTTTCCACTGACATACGTTTGTTGAAAAGGAACCAAAATCCCAGTGTTCATTTCTCTATACACACCCAGCTTTTACAAGGTTAAAAGGTCACACATTCATATATTTCATCGCTGACTCACGTAATGTTACTGCAGTGCTACCATCCATGTTTCTATGCGTCTTCCTCTCTCTCATGTAGCCACCCTGGAGATTCCCAGCAGCCCAGTGAAGAGCTTGGGTCTGGGTCTGGATCTTCCTCTGGACCTCTCTCCAGAGAAAGCTCTGTCCCACCTGAAGATCGGCAGCACCTTCACCTTCAGAGTCACCGTGTTACAGGCCTCCAGCATCTCAGCCGAGTACGCCGACATCTTCTGCCAGTTCAAGTGAGTGAACAAGTAACAGTAATTGTGGTTTGAGCATGAGGGTGGGTTGGTTGAAACAGAGAGTGACGTCTTCTCTCATTTCAGCTTCATCCACCGTCATGACGAAGCTTTCTCCACTGAGCCGCTGAAGAACACCGGCAGAGGACCTCCGCTGGGCTTCTACCACGTACAAAATGTGAGCACTGAACTCTAAATTCACTCCTATTGTTAACAAATATTAATACTATTGCAATATTTTTTTTACTTTTCTTTTAAAACACTTTCTTAGCTATCAACAGGCTGCTCCGACAGTTGTTTGAAGGGTGTAGTTGTAGTTTCATTCCTTCTTTCCACTGTCAGATCACAGTGGAGGTGACCAAGTCCTTCGTGGAGTACATAAAGACTCAGCCCATCGTCTTCGAGGTGTTCGGTCACTATCAGAAACAGCCCTTCCCTCCGCTCTGCAAAGACCTGATCAGGTCGGGAAGACGTTTGAACTTTAATTTCCTCCAGCTGATGACTAACTGTGAGCTAATGTTTTTATTAGATGAGAAGAAAGTTTTCCTCATGTTCTGGTTTCCCTGTCACGTCTTTTAGTCCGCTGAGACCTTCCAGGAGGCAGTTCCCCAGGGTGATGCCCTTATCCAAACCAGGTTAGCAGTTTCTATGAGTATATGAAACATCATTATTTATCCATGATGTGTAATTTATTTTATTGCATTCCACCATCTTTGATAAGTAGGTTTTTTTTTAGACTTAGGGCTGATAATTTGCTGTAATCGACAATTTATATCAAATCTATATAAGTCAAGCTCCCTTCATTTAAATTCAACAAAATTCTTTGCTCATATCACAGTGGAAACTATCAATCATCAATCATTCAATAAATGAGGGGGGGTCTGCAACACCCACTGACTCTAAAGCCTCTTGAGGCAAATTGGTGATTTGTGATATTGGGCTGTATAAATAAAACTGACATGACTACAAATGGTGACGCCTAACTCTACAACCTGCTTTGTCTTCCTCACCAATGCTTTGTCTTTAATCTGATTTTCAGTTCAGCTCAGTCTGGTAGACGTTGTCCTAGTCTGTCACACATTGATCTGTTCTCTCGTCATTCCTCAGTGCCGGCCACAAAGCTCAGCACTTTGACTCGCTCCACTGCGGGACCATGTCACGCCAAATATGACCTCATGGTGTTCTTTGAGATCTGTGAGCTGGAGGCCAACGGAGAGTGAGTCATATCTTTTATTAGTTGTGTTGCCGCTTTGATAAAACCAAGAGACGCAATAGACCACATACATAGAGATACTGTTGTTCCATTACTGCAGTATCAGTTTAATATATTTGTTATTTCCCTGTCTCCAGCTACATCCCCGCTGTTGTTGACCACAGAGGTGGGATGCCCTGTCACGGCACGTTCCTCTTACATCAGGTCTGACCACGTTTCACCAAATTCCCATCATGTTTCCCTGAAGGCATATCAATACGCTTCATAGTGTTCAGTGTCCGTAGATCATATGAGAAGCTTGGGATCAGTGGCTTTCCAGATTTTCTTAGTTCTATTTAACAGCAGCAATATAGTGTGAAAACTTATTTAAAAAAATCACGCTCTTTTATCTTAGCATGAAATACATTTATTTCCACCACTGTAAACTCTAGTAACAAAGATCCGGTTTGCGTCCCATCTTCTCTCGACTCCACAGGGCATTCAGAGGCGGATCACAGTGACCATCGCTCATGAAACAGGAAATGATATTGAGTGGAAGGAGGTGAAGGAGCTGGTCATTGGTGAGTAATGAGCAAAATTCAAAAACTTTGGCAAAGTCCCTGAGAAATCAAAAATAATTCTTTAATTGTATTTTTTTTATTTATTTTGATTTTAATTTTGAATAAGGTTGTGTCACTGAAATAATCTCATCATGATTTGTTTGACTTCAGGTCGCATTCGAAACACTCCAGAGGCTGATGAGACCATCATAGACCCCAACATCCTTTCCCTCAACATCCTGTCCTCTGGATACTTCTGGCCTAAACATGACGACAAGTACACGTCTAGCTTCACTTTTTAATTTTTTTTATCTTGTATTTTACTATGTTCCACTTTTTCACTTTTTATTTTTTTTTATATCATGCAGAGAGATCAGTTGCTTTGTTTAGGGATTTTTTCTTTTTTTTTTTTTGCATTGCCTGAACATGCCTTTTTATAATCAAATCTTAATTTTGCTTCAATGCATTTTTCAGTTTGCATGCATCAGTATTGTTTGCTGAGTTTAAACTTTTAACAGCTGCAGTTAAAAGTTTCTAACTCCTGTCCTTTTTCTCTTTATTCTTTGTTAATGCCAGCGTCTCCTTGGGAGTTGATCATAGGTATAATGACAATCATTTTTTTATCTTTTCAATTATTGTTTCTGATAACACAGTTCTCTGGGGTTTTTTTTTGTTAGGTTGACTCTTTCCTTTTTAAAAACCATGCACATAGATGATGGTGTTTTGTTTTTCTCATGCCAGAACTTTCTACCGATTTGAGGCAGCATGGGACAGCTCCATGCACAACTCTCTGCTTCTGAACAGAGTCACTCCCTACGGGGAGAAGATCTACATCACCCTCTCTGCTTATCTTGAGGTAATCGAGATTATTCTTCATTTTCATTTTTTTCTCATGAATATTTATTCAAAACTGAGAGCAGCTCAGCCACACTGTAACCAGACAGTTTGCACTCATGTGAATGGATTCTCATTTGTTAATTTCCTATGTATTTTAACTAGATGGAGAACTGCACTCAGCCAACAGTGATCACCAAAGATTTCTGCATGGTGTTTTACTCCCGTGACACGAAGCTGCCGGCCTCCCGCTCCATCAGAAACCTCTTCAGCACCGGCTGCCTCCGGCCCTCTGAGAGGTGCAGATTCATTGATTCATACAGTCTGAATCTGGATGACAACATCTGTTTATACGACGGTCTTTTAAAATGTAAATGTTGTTTAATTGGCAACTACCTCCCTTTCGAATGCACTGTTGAAATGTTGCCTCTCTCCATCTCAGTAACCGTGTCACAGGAGTCTATGAAGTCACTCTCTGCCATGTGGCGGACAACGGAAGTCCAGGTGAGATGGGAATAAAACTAAGAAGAATCATGCATAAAAAAGATATCTCAAACATGATTTGTTGTGTTTTGTCAGGCTAAAGGTGTGGACTGTTTTTCTTCTTTCTACTCAGGAATGCAGCGTCGTCGCAGGCGTGTGCTGGACACCTCGGTGGCCTACGTCCGAGGAGAGGAGAACCTGGCTGGATGGAGGCCTCGCAGTGACAGCCTGATCCTTGACCACCAGTGGGAGCTGGAGAAACTCAGTTTACTGCAGGAGGTCAGTTTGTAGACTGAAGAGGTGACACATAGAAAAGACAAGTTCGGAAAGTGTTTTTAGTGGAATAGGTATGGTTTATTATAGCCTCACAAAATCAGTCTAAATTTAGATTCAAGCTCAGTCTTGCTACAAGCAACCGGACGCCAGGCAAGTCACCAAATTGTTACAGTCCTGTGAAAACCATGTATATCCAAAACTTCACATTTTCATGAGGAAAAAAACAGTTTTGTGGTAATGCATTTTCCTGATAATCCGCTTTTTTTAATAGTTTATTTAGCTCAGAAATTAACACAACTTCACTGGACAGTAACAGAATGATGATTTATTTAAACCAGGTGTTTTAGATGTGAAAATGAAGGATGACTCTGTAAACACATGACCTAGCATCAGATTACCTGTATACAGAAACTACAGTTGGTGGATACTTCACAGAAAGTTGACGGTGGCAGAACAACTGTGATAGTTTAGTTTGAAAATTGGAAGCAAAGAAAAACAATAAAATGAGCAAGTGATGCATTCATCTACTCTGGTGTAAGATGCAAAGGAGATTTCTTGTAAATCATCATGTGCATGTGCCTGTGGTTTTAGGTGGAGAAGACCAGGCACTACCTGCTGCTGAGGGAGAAGCTGGAGGCGACTCTGCAGGCGGGACAGGAAGCGCTCTACAAGAGCAGCGACATCAGCGACTTTGCAAAGAGTCCCGTCCTCAGCCACAGTCCCAGCAACAGCCCTGCCCTCGAGAGCCCCAACCAGAGGCAGAGGGAGCTGGCTGCCAAGGTGACTGCTGCTTTCTGAGTCCTCCAGAACTTTTGTCTTAGCTTATCTTATATTCAACATCATCTGTAAAAAAAAAAAAAAAAAAAAAAAAAAAAATCTTCTTCACTTTCCTCTCTTTAGTGTCTGCGTCTGCTGATGCACACCTTCAACAGGGAGTACAGCCAGGTGAGCAGCAGTGCCAGTGAGAGCAAGGTGAGCCCCAGCCTAGGCCCTCTAACCCGGCCCAGTAATCCTTCTGAACCTAACATTTACTTGCTGTACCCTCGCAAAATATTTAAGCCCCGCCCTTCACCCTCCCTCATTCAAGTCATTCAATCATTTGTTGAGCACATATTTTTGTCTTTTTAACATTTCTTTCTTCCTCATCCCGTCTAATTTCATATCACTCACTTCTGTTAAACTTATGTTTTCCGTCTTCATAATCACTCAGTAGATGTTGGTTAAATCTTATTCACTAGTAATTCTCAGAGTTTGTTTGAATGAGCTGCATGAGACATAGTAATTGTCATACTGTCTATAAAAATCCATGTAGCCATATTTCATCCCTCAAAATAATTTAGTATCCGCTCCTTTTTTTTCCCTGCCGACCTCATCCCTCACTGCCCCCCCCTCCTCAGAAACTGCGAGGCTTCCACTAACCTGATCTTACTCCTGCATGTCCTCTTTAACATATTAATCAGCGAGGGGCTCTTAGACATAATGAGGATTTGTGTTACACATTGGTACAGAGATGGTTCTGCAGTACATTGCTAGAAAATGACAAATTGTCTGACTTGAGTTGTTTTCTGAATGCATGTCTGTGTTGTACGTGCTTAATTGTTTGCTGGTATGTTTTGTCTGTATCTGTGTCTGTCCCTCGTGTCTTGTGTGTGTTCTTCTCTGTGCATGATTTGTTGTGTGTGTGTGTGTGTGTGTGTGTGTGTGTGTACATGTGTGGGTGTGTTTTAGCTTTCTGAGATGTCTGCATCACTAATGAGGGAATCGTCATCGTCTGGACTGAGCACGCTCACTCCATCCTCTACCTGCCCGTCACTGGTTGAGGGACACTATGATATCAGGTATATACATGCTCTTACCCTTCACAGTATCAATTTAATTCAGTGCGCTGGTTAGTTTAGTTTGAAGTTAGCTTCTTACTTCGCTCCAGTGTTTCCCAAGACAGTGTCATGGTTTACAGGACTGAAGAAAACATTTACTCAAAACAAACTGCTGTTTGTTGGTGCCTCTGTAAATGCCAAATGTTTCCTTTTCTGAAGCAGATTTTTTTTGCAGGAAAACTAAGATCCCCTAGGAAGCAGTTAAGACTTTAAAATCTTAAACTAAGTTGCTATAGATCAAATCACTCTTGAATGGTGTCAGTTACTGTTGCGCTTCCATATAGGTGGACTTGCAAGAGAAAGTTTGAAAATTAAAGAATAGTAAAATCAATGCAGCAGAGGACCAAGATACCCTGACTTTTAACCATAGTATAAGTCAAGCCCATAAAGCTCTGGATCCTATATTTCCCATGATGCAACACAGTAGCGCATTTCATTAGACCCTCTCTGTCAGTTTAATCCTTGTTTCCTCAACACTTCACAGACATCATCACAGTTATTTTCTCATATTAATTTTCACTTTGAAGTGTTGGTAGTACTGCACATGACAAATGAAATGTTCCCATTTAAACCGACATGTGCATAAGAAGAGTGAGACATTATGGGTTATTGCTTAAACTGTACCTGTTTGATTGATAAGCCATTATTGGTAGAAACTTCACTTTCACTTAACTTTTAAATGTGTTGTGAATAACTCCAGGAATTGACTTGGTTAAACCGTGGTTCCTTTTTGTCACATTATGAACATGTTGTTTGTGTTGTGAAGACACACTGAACCCAGTTCAGGAGCATCCACCCCAGATCTGGACCCGTACAGCCCAGTGGACAGAAAGAAAGCTCTCAGAGGATGCACCTTTGTTCCTGACATACAGGAGATTCGTGTCAGGTCAGACTACACACACACACACACACACACACACACTGTACTTAACTGTTTTCATTTAGGGAATAAGCACAATTTAAGAGCAGTTGTGGTCACGTTTTTCTCATTCTGACATAACCATAGTATTTCTTTCATCATATGCAGCCCCATTGTGTCAAAGAAAGGCTACTTGCACTTCCTGGAGCCCCACACCAGTGGCTGGGTGAAACGCTACGTGGTGGTGCGCAGGCCCTACGTCTACCTGTACCGCAGCGAGAGGGACAGCGTCGAGAGAGCTGTCATCAACCTGTCATCTGCAAAGGTGGAATACAGTGAAGACAAACAGACCTTACTGCGGGTATGACTGAGCTTCAGTTCAATAGTCAAACTGATTTCTGAATTGAAAAAAACAAAAACAAAACAGTAACTCTGTGAACCTGAATGAACTTTAGTAACCTCAGGGTTTTAAATGTCTCCAGACTCCCAACACATTTGCTGTGTGCACTGAGCACCGTGGGATACTGCTGCAGGCCACCAATGACAAAGAGATGCATGACTGGCTGTACGCTTTCAACCCTCTGTTAGCTGGCACCATCAGGTGGGTGGAGGTGAAACTGTCGAGGAAAAATCCAACCAAAAAAAACAACACAGACTGTTGGTTTAACACATTTTTAATATAACTGCAGTAATCCTTTCACAGGTCCCATTTTTCCTAGAAAGAAAATGAAATATGTTAATGATGACAATGTTGTCCGGAAAGGACTTTGTGTTTGACACTAATTTCTTTGCATATAGAGGTGTGTTAGATTGGCAGACTTAGCTTAGTGGCCAGAAACATGACTGCAAATAAATGATGATGTTTGCTTTGTAACAGTGGGATGTGTAAATAACATGTTTTCTAACAACTTCGCTACATCAGCTTAAAAGATGATATATTGATGTTGTCCTTGCAACTAGTTATTGCTTTTCCAGGAAAATTCCTAGAAAATTATTAGAAAATAACCGGACTTGTAAAATTAAGTGTTTTCATCACTCCTTTTTTATGCATTGTACTATATATATGTTTTTTTACCTTACTTCCCCATTTCCCCTCAGGTCAAAGCTCTCCCGGAGAAAGTCTGTCCAGTCGGTCCCGCCTGCTCAGAGGATGTGAGAGGTGAACCAGCCTGGTGGGAAACAAAACAAAACAAACAAAACAATTCAATCCAAAAGCTCTGCTCACCATCCTGCTCTAATGAACATTGACCATATAAACAAACTTATACATAAAACCATTCAAATACCCTTGTAAATTACTTCACTCAGTCGCTCATCCCAAACCCCAACAAAACCGTCCCTTCTCTCTTTTTGCAGTCGACACCTCAAACCCTGCATGGTGTGCTCCCTCCTGACCATTAGAAGAATACATAAGAAAAACTAACCACCCAAACATGTTAATTAACTTACCTTTTCTGGGCATTTGGACTAGTTCTGATGAGTTTTCATATACGTGTAGATATGTCATCTGTGAGGCCACCATATCCCTGTAGAGAGTTATAATGTGCTCAGTCCCTCCTTCATCTATCATAACTGAAAGTAAGTCCCAGTTGTAAACCAACCATCCATGTATTTCTAATTAACGCCATCAGGTGAGGGGGAACAAGAAAACATCAAACCGGATGTTTCTCTGTGTAAAGTGTGTTAAGTGCAGGGATGACAGCTCCACATGCATCCATTCTACAAATAGTGTACATTACCTCAGTTTGGAATGGCTTGGTGCTCTACAGCATAGAGTATTTGTTTCTCTGCAGAGGTTTCAGATAGCAAACAGATCAGTCATTTTAACACTGAAGTAGCATGAGGAGGGATTTCTTAGGACAAAGGGGTAAGTTGTACCTGTGTTGTTTTTTTTTTTTAACTGGTTCAATGAAAACTGAGTTCGTTGGCTAGACTAAGGCAAAAATAATCCACAATCAGGAGAGATAAGTCATGTCCTTGCCTTGTTCTTGATATGTGCTTTTTTTCCCATGCCCATGAGGGAAAATATTACTTATTGTTGCGATCCTAGGTTCTCTGCACTGTTATTTGTGACAGGACCACTGACCAGTTTTGCTGCATGGCACTTTATTGTCTTTATTGAGTTAATGTCTTGTGTCATTTACTCAGTTGTTTTAACCAAAGCACTGTTGTCTTGTTTTAATTGTTTCAAACATTGTCCACGGTGCAGTTGTGTTAGCAGACAGTTTTTAAGAATAACTGGATGTTAAATAGTTTGACATTTGAGAAATCTGCCAATTTGCTTTCTTACTGAGAAAGATAATAAGATAAATACTACTACTAATACCCCCAGCTGTCAGCTATCTTAGCTTAGCTTAGCTTAGCCTAGTTTGGCCAGAAACAGGGGTGATCAGCTAGCCAGGCTCTCTCCATAGGTAATAAAGTCTACGTACCAGACAAGTACTTTTAAAGCTCAGTAAGATGTAGAGATTTTGTAGGGAGGTATGTGCTGAACTATTTCCTGGCAGTGTGCAGAGACTTCAAAGACACAAACAAATGAGTTACAGTGTGTTAATCAATGAGCTTTAGAGGTGTTGGTAGCAGTTTCCCTGTGTTTCTTTATGCTAAGCTAACCGTCTTCTCAGTACAAACCCAAGAGTACCATCCTGGAAAGGAAGCGGCCATATTGATTGATTGAGTGTTGTACCAAGTTTCCTTCCCTGGTCATATGCATAACCTCTACATCTTCTCACCTAACTTCTTGCAAGAAAGCAAATAAGTGTATTTTTCAAAATAATTTCTTTAAACTAATCAATTCTACATAAATTGAGTTTTATATTCATTTATATTATATTCTAAATTGATGTTTTATATGGTAAATACACAAGGAGGACAACTGTACTGTATGCCTGTTGTTAGATTTGTAGAAAATAAGCACTTCTTCTGTCTGTTATGGGCCAGCAGAGTTGTTACATTAAATGAGTTTACTATTTAAATCTCCTAGTAGCTAAAGGGAAAGTTGTAAATGATCCTGGACCTGTAATCTGTTGAGGGCAGTTGCTTTGAGCGGGCAAGAGCGTTGCCCACGCACCAGATAGTGCCTCCCTTTCTTCACCTCTTTTTCTTCCTCCTCCATCATTGTCTTTAACATCTTTAACACTAAAGTTAGTTACATGTGTTTATAAGAGTAAGCTTTTATGTAGAGTAGTAGTAGTAGATGCTATGGATCTTTTGTTTTTATATTGATGATCTATGTCAATGTTTTGGAGAGTGAATATTATCAATGATGCTACATGGTATGTTGGTATAGCCTGTCACAGTACAGCGCAGCGTATATCTCATTATCATTGACTCTAAATGTCGCATTTTGAAGGAATTCCCCTCTTAGCTTTTGTACTGTAGGTGCTAGATATTTGACAGCCTGATGCTTGTGTCAGAAACCAGTACAGTATGATTAGCTTTGGTGTTGTTATGACATTTATGTCAAGGATGGTTTCTAGTTGCTTTTAGTTTTTATACTTTTACTTTTTACTTGTTCCATTTTGCACTGTACCAAGATGACCCTGAATGTTGGTCTTTGATAAATATTATCAGTGGAAGAAAATACTTATCTAAAAAATAGCTTGTTGTTGCTATTATTATGTATGTTTATCGTGTTATTTGCATTTAAAGGAATATTATTCATATCTGTTCACTCTAGAGAAGAACAACTTCTTCATTTGTAAATCTTATACCAAAGACGTGGTCAGCCAACCATTTCGACTTTCTCATGTTCCTCAGATTATGATCTGGTTATTGCCAAATCTGACTATCAGCTATCAGAAAGTATTTAGGACTCTTTATGCCACAGGCCAACCAACCTGCTGGGCAGTGCAGCCTAATACTTTAAAAATCTGACTAATACAAAGGTTATATTTCACACTTCACTTAGGATTTTTGCTGTTTGTGGACTCTTTGTTTTGATCATATTCTGTCTGAGCAACGAATTCAGTGTAATTACATCATTTTAGGTCGTCTTGGTACAATCCACTTTATTTGTTTGGTAAAATGCTTATAGGTATATTATGTATGCTGTCTGCTGGAACAGAAGACAAATGGAAAGTTTTATTTATAAAGTTTTGAAGGACAGATTGTGTCCTTATGATATATTGCACTCATGCACAAAGCATCTTTATTTGATATGATTTCATATGATGATGTTTTAAGAATGTACGGAAAAGACTGGTTTGCGTTTAAAAACATTACGGCCCTGTCCTGAGAGGAGGATGAGATTAGATTCTGAAACTGTGCCATTTTCGCTTCAGCAATCAAACCACCAAGAACACTGCACCAAATTTTATTGATTGTTTTTTAGTTTACAACTGCCAGATGAAGTGCAATGCCTCCAATCCTAATAGTTCAAGGGTATCGTGTTAAAAAAAAAAAAAAAGCGAGACAGTTTTAGTGCACTGGCCAATAATTGTAGAAAAGTAAATGAGTTGATTATTTCATATTCGGCTGCTTTTTAATTGTCATAGCTCTGGATCGAAGCATGCAGGTCCACTTACCTTCTGCTGTACTCTGTCCCTCTCTCCTGCCTTACTGCTTGCTAATGACAACAGCTTTCCCCCCCCTGAAGTGCTGCTTGTAAAGTATTGTCATTCATGATCCTTGTAATGACTAACTGGAAACCTCCCTCTTGGCTCTGTCTTGTATATAAATGGAGATTCTCTGTGTTGGGTCTCATCACACAGATGATATTAACTCTCTCTTCCTCTGTATACCATGATGAATAAGAATAACTGGCCTGCTGCTATGTCAGGTGTCACCCCAGTGTGAAGAGTGCTGATCGGGGATCAGTTTTGCACATTTCAGCTCATTGTGGACGAGGCGGTTGTTGCGGAGCGGGTAGATGATCCCAGGTCTGCACTCTTGCTCTGAGCTGCTTGACAGGGGCAGAAACGGGTCCTAGCCTGTGATGAAGTCTTAATCTCAGTGCTCACGTTTATCTTTTGAGTGTTCTGGAGTTTTTTCTCATGTCTGTGGACACGTAACAAAAGTTGTGAAGAAAAAAATAAGGCGAATAAATAAATGAGTGTTGAAACTTATGCAACATTTTGGTGTCATGTGTCTAATTGACATTGTTATTTTGCATTGTTCACTTAAATCTATATATATATGTTCACAGCAAACCTCATATGACAGCAGGTGGACTAGTACGTGTCGCTCTTGTCATCGGGTGATCACAATTTCAATCATCTTTTAGATTTGACTTACAATGATGTTGTCCCAATGATTAATCAAACAGCAGATATACTGACCTGAACATGTACAAGAAATAAAGGTATAACATAGATTTAGAAAATAACAATAACAACTGAAGATTTCTATTTTCCAAAATAACGTGTCTCTGGAAAGGTGGATGTAAGTGGAGTTCCTCAAGGATTGATTTCTGGTCTTCTCTTGTTCATCCATCCAGAGACTAAATGTTAACATGACATCATAATCACCAATCAGTAGGACATCAGTCACCAATTCAGTAAACGACTGATGTCCTTTTTTCTGCAACTCAGTAACAACAAAGCAGATTGTTGTCGGTGCTAAATATCAAAGGCAGGTAAAATGGTGTCAGTTCTACTGTTGATCTCTGCAAAGTACCACACAGTTCAGGAAACTGTACACTTAATTCTCATTTAAAAAAAAAAAAAAAAAAAAATTACAGATGAAACATGAAGATGAAAAATAAACAATCCTACTCCTCGGATACATCTTCTAGTATATATACAATTTATGTGGTTGTATGCAAACTGATGATGTGTGTTGAATGTCCAACCAAATATTTAGAGTGTTGATCAAGAAATATGTAGTTCCACATTTTAGACTGTTTCTTGATATACCACTATTGTATTTGTAAACCTTGTCTCTATTATATAATAGATTCTATACATTATTTAGTAACCTCAAATTTTTAGTCAATGTGATATCAATGATATCTTGACTGTCATTCTCACTTTCTGATTTATCCACAACTACCTTCAACAGCTTTTTGTCACTTGAAAAATATTGATCAAGGAAACGTGTTTGTTACAGATGGAGGCTGAAAAACCTGCTAATGTATTTATCTTGTGTTGGATTGTGGCACGTTATATTTCCTGACTGACACATGCTATAATGTTCATTGTAAATAAAATTGGTCTTGCTCTGTCCAAACTCAAGCCCATCAAGACTGTTTTTGCTGACAGTGCATCCTAAGAAATGGATAACATAACATAAAGGTGTTTTCATGTCTGTATGTCTGTTGTGTAACAGTTTGTACCTTTGCTCAGAGGGAGCACATGTACATGTGTGTGTGTGAGAGATTGTTCTGCTGCGTTTGTGCAGCCTTCCATTATTGATTATGTACTCACCATGTGCTCTGCTGCAGCAGGGCCGGTCTGACTAATCCCCTAATAACAGAGGCAGAAATACTGGGCTTGACACAAAGGCCCTGGACTGAGTGAGGGGCAGCTACCTCCCATCAGGCACTGAGGTTACAGCAGACCATTGATGGACAATAAGTTTGGTAAGATACAGTAGGTCTTGTCTATGTAATGAATGCTGAATATTTAACCATGTGTTGTGTTTCTGTTTCCATATCTCTGTCTACACATGCTCACTGTGCATGTACTGTAGGTGCTCAGCTGTGCAGCGAGCACACACTTGCAATAAAGGTTGAAGACAGCAGCTGGTTTTTGAAGTGTTCACTGAAAGCTGTTGTGAAAAAGCTGAAACTGTAAAACCAGAATTAGCCAGTCTGTGATAGTCATTGCAAATCAGAAAAGGATAAAAAAAGAGAAAATGAAACCATACATTTTGTAAAAAAAATTAACTAATACAGAAACATGAGAACTGATTCACAAAAATACAAGATTGTCAAATTAGTCACATATATCCATTATACACTCATGCCTGGAAAAACATTCAGTCTCCCGAGTGACTGTCATCTGTCCTAAGTGTGAACACACTAATACACACACCTGAGCATGTTGAGAGAGTGTACGTGCACACACACACAAACAAGCAAACACGCAGACACACACCTGTCCCTTACAGTATGTTGTGTCCTACATACATTCACAGTGCTATCGTTCTATACTTCCAGGTGCAGGTCACCCTATCCCACCTGTTTAATTATGCACACTAAGAAGGCCCCCCATCTGAGGTTTGGGTCCAGGTGATGCTGCTCCTTGGTCTTACTGTTTATTGGCTGCTCCAGAGTGAAGAGGCAGACAACAGCTTCTGGATTTCCTTTCCTTATTATTTACCTTTTTCTATCAATATTGTTTTGTTTTTTAAATTATTTTTTCATCAAGGATTGTTTTCTGTCAAACTGTTGGTTCGAAACTGTACTGTAAGTACTATATGCATTTAGGTTATGATTGTGAATGAATATTGAGCTCTCTCTGAGCACAGAAACCTTTCTTTTCATAACAACTATTTTTTGAAATAAAAATACATCTGATTATGTAATTTGTATTTTGGACTGGTGACATTTTAATTTAACAGTTAGTATCTCAGAAAGGTCTCATTGAGATAAAATAAAAAAGTAGCAATGAGTTACTGAGAAACAACTTACAAACCATTGCCAGTAATAGGTGGAATTGAAAACATTCGTTTGGTAAGTGCACTAAAAACAACGCATTAAGCATGACATGAAATATGTTGCAATCTTTTGTAAAGGCACTAAATATAATAAACTTTTAGAATGATGGTAAGGTATGTTGTAGATAAAGCATTTACAAACCAACCACTAAGGTGACATCTTACTTTTTACTATTATTATTATTAGTATTTAATGTGACAAAACATTGTAATTGTCTGTGTAGTATTTTGGCTATTGAAGAGCACGGAGCTTGTGAAAAAATCCCGTGAATCAGGAAGGTTACCTGAAGCAGGATATCATGTCTCTCCAAACTCTACCACACTTTCTCCTGCTCTCTGTGTGGGCTACGCTACATTCACTGACCGGGGTCTTGTTTCACCACGTCTTGTTTTTGTCCCAAGTACTACGAGCTGTGGCCTCTGTTGTATACATTAACCTTGTGTGTGTGTTTGTGTGCGCGTGGCGTGTATATACGTATATGTGTGTGTGTGTGTGTGTGTGTGTGTGTGTGCCATTAGGGGGTCTAAATCTCTTATAACATTACTTTTGCTGCTGTGTGAGCTGTGTCACATTTCTCCTTTTGCTTGTTTTATCTGGTTTCTGTTGATGTCACTGTCTGTTGTTGTCGTTTATGTGATTTTCAGAAAGAGGAGCTCCAGCTGCTTTAAAACACCAGAGTGCGAATGAGCAGAGTCAACATGGAGAGCAGCAAGGTGACCAATCATCAGTGGAGGGGATTGTATTACAGGCAGGGACAATTTAAGAGACAGAGAAAGGATGAGAAAGGTTTGACTCCCTATGTTTAGAAACAAATCAGTTTTAATTATGTTGAGGGAAATGAATGTTGAGGGAAATTGGTTTATCTTAGAGCAGAAGAATAAACCTTTTTCACAACAGACACTTTGATCTGTCAAACACATATGTAACTAATGACATCACTAATTGCTGTATTTCATTGTAATAATTACTGAAAAGAGCCATCATTGATATTACCAGCTACATCTTTGCTTTTCCTTCTATGATAGGTCAAAATGCCTGTTGTGAAAAAGGCCTAAGGCTAAAGGTCAGTGTTTTTTTGGGTTCAAAAGAAGAACATGAACAGCTGATTTTCATCAGATATAACAGCACAGATTAATATATAAGATGTTTACTAATCTGAACACTGAACACAAACTACACATTTTCCTATACTGGTTAGGATAAGTGGGAAAATATGTTTTTGTCTTGGGTGAACTATCTCTAAGTGTGACTCACCCCTGCTGTGTGTGTGTGTCCATGTGTGTCCCCAGCAGCCAGTGAAGGAGGTGCTCCCCCTGCCTCGCCACCATGTGGCCTCCTCCTCTCTGACCCCTGCTGCCATTTCAACAAAGCACACCACAGGCTCCATCCAGCATGTACAGGTGGCCTCCTCAGGTGATTAACATACACACCACACACTGTATGAATGTGATAAGAATTATTACATAGGCAACTAATATTTACTGCTGTCATCCATCTTACTGTTCATTTATTTATTCATTAGCTAATTATATATAAATGTCTGTATGCGTGTGTATATATATATGTATATATATTATGTCTGTCATAATATCTGTATAAAATATATTTAACGCATAACTGATATCTTTTGTTTAAAGGTAAAAGAAATATTGACAGATTTTAAAGCTGAATCATTGACCTTTGACCTTTGTTATTATTGTTTACAGTGGTGACATCATTCAACCATCTGAAGCCTCCAGAGAGGGATCTCACCCTGATGTCTCATATGAAGTCTATCAAGTCTCTGAGGCACGCCGGCTTTACTGCAGTCTTCACTGGACAAACGGTGAGGCACGTCTTTCAAGACAAACATGAAGTGGCCTCCAGGGTGGATGGGAAATTATAACACACAGACAAAAGTGTACTGTAAATGCAAATACTGCATAGACCTTCTCATGTTGAGCCTCTGCACCCATGCAAGTGTTTTCACTTCTTCACTAAAACCATGTGCTGTAGTCATTGTTGCCAGTCCATGTGTATTTTCATTCAAGCACTGGATGCAGTGTACGATGCTAACTTTGATTTTGTCTGCAGGTCTTTTAAGCTGTATAGAAGCTAATTAACTAGCTAGCCAATGCTAACTGAGATGGTTGAAAACTGGCTCCAGCTGAGGTTTCAATGTTTCCAGCTGACTGTTCTCAAAACAAGAACCCTTATATGCACATGATGGCTGCATACATGATATAAAAAAGACTGAGGCTAAAGGTGGCTACATTTCCCAGGCGAAAACTGATGCATTGTTCTTGTATTTCAGAGGAACCCTGGTTTCATAGAACAGTATCATGAGTTAAAATGTTATTTGTTCTAACAATCCTGCCTATTAAAACAAACATTCTTAGACTCACAACACAGTGGTTGAATTCATGCCTGAATGTTTGCATTTTCAAAAGTTATGTGCAAGAGAGAGTCTTTGTTTGTTAATGAAAACTCTGATACTCTGATCTTTTATTTTTATTTATTTATTTATTTTTGCATCACTCATAACCCCACACGTTCAGATATTTACTACATATGCTCCTTGGCTTTGAATTTAGGTGGTAATCTAGCTAGCCGGCCATGCGTTGCAATGTTTGCAACTTATGTTAGAGGTTTTCAAATAACAAGTATAAAAAGCACATGTATATAGTAATAACATGAATTGATGCTGAAGGCCATTTAGCTGGTCCTGCTGGCTCACAGTAATGCTGTCAGGACTTTCTGGGACACTTGAATAGAGCTGAGTCATCTTTATGGTATTAGTAACACCTGTGATTTTTCTGCTATGACAAGTCAAAATGTCTACTGTGAAAAAGGCCTGTTAGGCCTCGGCTTGTGCACACCCACACAGTCCATTAGGCAAAATAAGTGACGCGTGTGTAGGTGGATCATAGAAATTGAGGGCCTTCAAATTGTTTGTGTGTTTTAGCCTTCTGGTGTTTGCTATTATGATACTTGCATTGAGATGTAAAGATGTAAGATATAAAAAGATGTAAAAAAAAAAAAAAAAGCAGAAATAGACGTGAGGTTTTTATGATGGAGATGTTATACTTTCAAATGTGGCTCCTGCTGCAGAGCACAGCACAGCACTAATATTGACTGTCACTGACTGTCTTATGCTGTTGAATCCTCCTGACAGAGGCTTGACAGTGAGGAAGTTTTAGAGGAGGTACCAATTGTCGACGTGATCCTGGCCGACATCGACTCCCTGGTGCCCACTCACGATGAAGCCGGCCACCCCATAGCAGAGTGGAAACGACAGGTGATGGTGCGGCAGCTGCAGGTCAGGCTGCAGGATGAGGAGGAACAGAGGAGACAGGTACTCTTCATCTGTACATTTGTATGCATGAGCACAGCTCTGTGTACACAGATTTGGCAGGATTAGCAGAAGTAGAGACTGGCTAAATTGAATAGGATGTAGCCATAGCTCCAGGGGGGGAGGGGGCTTGCATGACCAAGGGGAAAAAGTGGAGTGTTTCTAATGTAGTAGATCTGATTCTTGATAGGAATGATATATCAAACAAAAATACTCTTTCAAGACTATCAAGGTAATTCATTCACAGAGCAAAATGACCCACACAGAACGAGATGCACAGACTTTCAACAAGGAAGAAAAAAGAGGCAACTGCTATAGAGCAGAAATGGCAAATCCAAAGTACAAAGAAGCCGCAAAAGACACAACACCTCGAGCCTTATTTTGTGTGTAAAACCTCTGAAAGTTTGGGCAAACTTTAACTGGCATGTTTCATTTGCGCACTGAAACCTAATAAGAAAGATGCACGAGAAGAGAAATTCGTGCTGTATTACTATTTTCCCCAGAAGGTTAATTATTTTATTTTTCAGCCAAAACACAAAATACTGATATTATGAAGGAGAACAAATTCTTCATTTCACTATCTATACTGAATATATTTAGTTACTTTTAACAAAAGGATGATTTTTTGTGGATGGTTTTGGTAAAGGGATAGTTTGTTTATTGTGTAACTGAAATACACTTATTTGCTTTTCTTACCAAGAGTAAGATGAGAAGATCTGACACCACTCTCATGTCTCGCCAATCAATTTGAAGCTACATCCAGCTTAGCATAAAGACTGTAAACAGGGGGAAACAGTTAGCTTGACTCTGTCGAAAGGTAACAAAATCCGCCTTACAGCACTTCTTAAGAGTCTTGTCTAATATGTACAAAAACCAAAGTGTAAAAACAACACCACTGGAAGGTTACGAACTGGACTATTGGCTGGGAACAGTAATTTCCAACCTCACAATTATGACACAGCTTCTATAACGCAAGCTTCTATAATCCCCAGGCCAACAAGTAGTCCAGCATCTACCACACAGTAACACTGGAACATGTATTGTCATCTAACTCTACACGGACAGCTGCAGACACCATGGACGCGTAGTTGTTCTCATTTATATTCAGCTTGGAGGACGCGTTTGTCATCTATGTAGTCCCTGCATGCACATTACGAATCAAATCGAAATCGCGACATCCATGCAAGAAGAGGAAGAGCTGCTCTGCTGTACTTTTAAAGATGAATTGTAGAGATGAGGGTAGCGGTGGTCCTCCTCACACAGCCTCTCTTCAGACCCAGTGTCCATGTTTGTTTTCCAGCTCATGCACAGTTGGTATCCTTGTAGTGTAGTAGGTATACAAATTGTTGGGTACGCAGATGTCAGTACAGGGCCTCCAGTACACTGTCCGATGAAATTTACGTGACGTGGGCCCCCCATATACAGTATATGCGGATGCAGAAAGCATAACATTGGCTTAATGCATGGAAATAAGTGTATTTCCATAAATGTTGAACTGTTCCTTTAACAAAATCATCTCTCAGGATTGTTTGCTGAAATCTCTTCATTCCGCTAACAGGACATGCCTAATGGCTACACACCAGTGGACGGCTGGAAGTACTCCCAAGCCCACAATGCGGTGTTGGGGCCTTTTGGTGAGCTCCTAACTGAGGACGACTTGGTGTACCTGCAGCAGCAGATCGAGACTGTTTCACTGCAGAAACGCTGCCAGGCCTATGAGCTGGAGCTGACCAGGCTGACTGAGGAGCTGAGGGCCATTCTACCTGATCCCATTGTCAACATCTCCCTCAACAAAGAGGTCCTACAGCAGATGGACGCAGAGGGGAAAATGCAGCTGACTTTGCCAGTGTGGTGCAGTCGTGTTTCAGAGATTGTCAAGAGTATGTCTCTGCTGGTGGCTAATCTGACCCAAACCACAAAAGAAGGGGGTGAAAGGAGAATAGTGGAAGGCATGATGGAAGAACTGAAGGGGTTGCAGGGCATAAAAGATAGTTCAGGAATTAATTTGGGCCAGCAATTTGTGCAACAAGGGACAGTGCCAGCACATGTGGAGACCTCTAGTGGATGTAGGATACCTCACATAGGTATGGCGTCTGCATTTAGCCATCGTTTGGAGACCAACAGCTACAGCAGAGCACAGAGAGAGAGGGTGGAGAGGGAAATCCAACAGTCTGGAGTGTCGGTCAGAAACCTCAGATCCAACTTTGAAGGTCAGATTGGTGGGATATATCCCTTCGCTGGCATTGTGAAGGGAGGCCAGGGGTTGAATAACCAGGCAGTGGTTGGGGCTTCAGGAGGGAACAACCAGAATGCCAGCACAGGCCTCAGCTGTGACATGAGCCATGGAGATACTCCTAATGAACCTATACCTGTGATGGAGACCACCAGCCTAAGGAAAGAGCGTATAGTGGTGCTGTTCCTGAGCCACTGGAAGAAGTCTGCATACGCTATTTCAGTGAGAGCATTGAGGCAAAGGGAGGGACAGGAGGCAGCATCAGAGAGTGTAACAGCAGCACTGCCCCAACAGAAAATCACCTCCATGTTTCAGTTTTGCCAACAGCGAGGCGCTGTGGACAAGATGCTAAACTCCTGGAGGAATAAACTAGAACTCAAAGAGGGGCAAAAGTTCTGTTTGTCCTCCTCTAACCCACAAAATCCACCCTCTCGAGTGACCTACTCTCCAGAGCAATTCCTGCCCGATGTGGACGGTGTTGCAGTGAACCACGACAGCTTGACCCTTGAACTCTTCATGCTTGGATACTTCCACATCTTAGAGCAAGAACTGTCGCCTGAGGAGAGGAAGATGAGGCATCTCCTCTGCTTTGAGGTCTTTGACCACGTTGGCAGCTTCCCCTGGGAGACGGTGCGCGACTTCCACAAGGCCGTTCTCCAGGAAATCCAGGCTGGGAGGCGACAGTGGAGCGACGGCTTCGAGGACATCAAAGTTCACTTCTTTGGGAACTCGAGACCATGCCGCTGTCCATCATCGCCACCATCGCCGTCATCATCATCATCTCTTTTGCCAGATTCCACACTAGTACCCAAAGTTATAGTCCAAACTGCTACTCCAGAGGAATGCAGCAGAGACACAGACTTCTCCTGTTTCAACAATGAAGACATTTGTAAATACATTGATCGCAGCTTTGCTTTCTGGAAAGAAAAGGAGGCAGAACTGTTTGATTTTGAACATTAGTCAACAACATTTTTTCAACAAAAATTATGTTATGTATGTGTGTTCATTTTGGCAAACTAATGGGACCTGAATAAAATGTAAATGTTGAGAATGCAGTATTGATGTACTGTTCTCAATAATATAACTCAAATATTAATTACAGTTAGATCTCAATCACTGACACACAAAAGCCTCCAACTCATACACCCTATCAAATGAAGCTTATGGTTGCCATTCAAAAGATCCTCAGCCTCAGAGACAGCGGGGCCACAGAAAACTGTGTTCGGTTGGTAAGATCTCCGAGGATTCTTGTAATTTGTTAGCACTTCATTGCTACTTAAAAGGGGCACTCCACTGACTCTGCAGCATCACTCAGCATGTAAAAACAGTTGTATAATGTCTTCTGTGGCTTTGGAGTTTGTCAAAGGTGAAAAGTAACATCCCTTGAATAATAGCGGGTTGAGCTGTGGCATAAACTTGGGGGCATGGAGGTTGAAAGATGTGGTTGTTTACCAGGCAGGGAGAGTCTGATGAAAGACTCCTTTGAGTTGCATTATGGGAAGAGTAGGATCCAGGGTTTTCTGAACCCACACTAAGGACTAAAATTCTGTATTTCTCTGCCTTTGCTGTATTCGTGGAAGTGCAGAATTAAATTGGGGGAATGCCTTTAAATTCTGACATGTTAACAAAATTAATTTTTGGTGGTTTAAATTTTGTATATTTCCATATTTCAAAGTCCAACCAAGAATGTTAGAGGGGATTCATCTTAAAAGGCGAAGGAGAGATTCCTGCGGATTTTGTTGGATAATATCAGAGATAGTCACACAACAGAACAAAAGTATGAAAATGCTACATTACAATAAAAAGTGCTGCGTTCAAAATCCTACTTTACTAAAAATACACAGTGTTCTAATCATGTAATTGTTACTGTTACTTAATTTTATCAATGGAATATTGTTACTGATGCATAAACCCGTAGCATTGCAACTATGCAGCTGGCAACTAGGGCTGCAATCAATGATCGCTTTCATTATCGATTAATCTGCAGATTATTTTCTTAATCAATTAATCATCCCTTTCTCCCATTCCCTAAATCACATGGTGCTTTCTTCAAATTGCTTGTTTTGTTCAACCAACAGTCTAAAACCCAAATATATTCAGTTTTCAATCATATATGACAAAGAAAAGCTGCAAATCCACACATTTAAGAAACTGGAACAATGGGGTGTTTGGGATTTTTGTTTGTGATAATTATCAAAATAGTTGCTGATTAATTTTCTGTCATTTGACTAATCTAATTTAAATTCTTGCTAGTATTGCTCATTTTCATCTATTGCAATCAATTATATTTAATAATATGTTGTATAGAAACATGGTTAAACTATAGTTGTCAAATAAATATAATTGAATAAAAAGTCCAATATTAATCTGAAGAAGTATGAGGTTCATTAACTGGAAATAACTTAAGTAAAGTACAAATAACTCAAAATTGTACTCAAGCATAAGAAACGACCAACGTTTTTATTTACCTTAATATGACATCTTATTGGCTTATATCTGATTTATAAAAACCATAGTTTAGTTTCAGGTCCAATAGAAAGGTGAGGGACTGAAATAGGTGAGGTCGCGCAGGCGCACAAGCCCCCTAAATTGACAGGAGGATGCTGAGCTGCATTCCCATCATTCTGTGAGGAGAGGAGGATCCCCCTGCGCACCCACAACGGAGAAGACGCCGAGCAATAAGAACATCTAAAATAATCCAAGTTGAGCTCTTTATCTGCCACCATGTCAGCTGGAGGAGATTTGGGGAACCCCCTGAGGAAATTTAAACTCGTATTTTTGGGAGAGCAGAGCGGTGAGTCACAGCATCGGGAGGTTTGGCGTTATCCTCCCCTTTAATGCAAAACATGCGTAGCTATATGTTGAAGGCCATGTATGTAACCGTGTTGATTTTGAAAGTTTTAGCTGCATCCAGAAAATGTGCTTGGCTGGCTCTGATGTATCTAACGCCCATGTTTCTCCTGGCACAATCTGTGACTGTAGAAAATTTGATTAACCGAGGAAGAAAAAAAAAAAAGAGAAAAGAAAAAAAACCCCCGCATGCATATAAATTGCACCCTTGGATTAAATATAACCTTTGTGATCACTCAAAAATAAACGCTGCTTGTACTGGATATCTTTGAGGGGTATTTAGTTGTCGCAAATTGTCATATTTCGCATCATAGCAGGCGATATGGATTCAGATGTTTTGATGTGCTGCAGTGACCGACAAATATGCACAGTCTGTTTCCACATAGCGGCTTTATTTCACTTACATCGCTCATTCCTAACATTACCAATCCTTTGCTCTATTACATGACGGTGTCTAACATCCTTTTCTTTCAGTCGTGTTTTCTTTTCTTTCTTTTCTTTTCTCTCTTTTTTTTTTAGAGAAGATAATAAACAGTCCCCATGTGTCAGTTCGGGACACACCCTAGGCTGGCGATGTCGGTAGCATCTCTAAAGCTCGCAGTCTCTGGTTCGGTCCCATAAATAATCAAATAAAAACGGGCTTGACAGCGCCACAACATTATAGTATATATTCAATAATCCATCTATTCGGGGTGTGAATTGCTGTGTAAGTGGTTTGATGCGATGGGCACAAATACAGGAGGTGCTGATCGATAGTGGTTTAGCGCTGTAAAGCAGCCTGAATACGTGTTCAGACATCAGACATCCAGAGTGGCAGCAGAGGAGCTCACATCCCATAAAATACAGCAGCAAAGAGCAGGATGCACATAAATGGGCCTAATATGACAGCAGCTTCTCTGGGGTTTGTGTCTCACATTGTGATGATTCAGTGTGTAGACTGTGTGTGTGTGTGTGCGTGTGTGTGTGTGTGTGTGTGTGTGTGTGTGTGTGTGTGTGCGTGCGTGTGTGTGTGTGTGTGTGCGCGCGCTGCATGTCTATGTGCTCTGTATGTCGACTAAAAGCCTCCATGTGTGTTTGTGTGGCCTGTACTGCAATGTTACTGTCCATGGTGCTGAATGGAGGCCTGGCGTGGCCACTGCCCATTGCTGGCTTCAAAACTACTGCTGTCTGCATAGAGGACCCTGCATGAGAACCCGGGGCCTGCTGGAAAAGTCCTGTCCTCACGCGTGTGTAGATCTGCTGTAAAATGGTGCTAAAGATGGTGCTGGGTGGGATGTAAATAAAAATGGAGGGCTCACTAGGCTCACCTTGATGCTTGGGGACGTCGCCATCTGCTAAATGTCTCAAATCTTCATGTGTTTTGTATCTGTCTGGTTATGACATGGCCCCTCTGCCTTTCTGGTGATTACATATCATTTGTGGACACAACCTGTTTGTTTAAAAATGGCTGACAAATAGGATTTGTCAGTCTTCCCACATGTGCTTTCAAGATTTAGTGCTTAGTCACTTCTCAGTATTGACATTGTTGTCGCAATAGATTTATTCCATACTGACAGTGAGGAACATTTATGAATCTTTTTTGACAGTGTGAAAAATTTAGTTTAGGGCAGCAACTAACAATTATTTTTTTTTTTATCATTGATCAATCTGCTGATATGTCTTTTGATTGAATAAAGATTGTTTGGTCTATAGGATGTCTGAAAATAGTGAAGAATGCCTGCTGCAGTTTTCTGAAGCCCAAGGTGAACATCTTCAGATGCCTTGTTTTGTCAGATGAGCAGTCTAAAAAACCAGGGATATTCAGTTTATCCTGAAACATGTGAAATGAAAACAGAATCTTTTAAGAAGCTGGAAAAGAGGTTTGTTTGTTTTTTTCTGCTTGAAAAAGGACTTCAATGATTAATGATCACAAATGGTTGCAGAATAAATTCTTCATGCTTTAATGAAGTCAGTGTTTGATAATGATAATGATTTGTTATTTTCAGATCATATCAACATCTTTTCAACACCATACCCAATATTTCTCTAGATAACAGAAAATGTATCATATTCATTATGATTATTTACTTTACTAATGAAAATGTATGTTATTGTCTTAGGGGGGAAGAATCCTCCAAAACATGAGTTGTTATTTGATCATATTTGCTCAATCATACCCTTTCAGAAATGAACCCCTGAGCCAGTTTTCACATCATTATGTTGAATCTGCTCAGGAAATGGTTTATTAATGTGTTTACACACTTTACTAAAAATCAACATCTGTGTGCTCTGTTCCAGTGGGGAAAACATCTCTCATCACTAGATTCATGTATGACAGTTTCGACAACACATATCAGGTAAGATTCGAACCAGATCCAGAACTGAACACATCAGGAAACATAAAGACTTATTTAGAAGCATTTCATGCATGTTGTAGTGATTTGTCTATACATTGCCTTCAAATGTTAGATTTGACTAAAAGGAACAATAGGACTAATTGCATTGCAGCTCTACAATATAATTATCCCTTTACATTACAATAGTGACTAATTAATAACTGACTAATGTTACAATGACAGCTTTTTTGTGGCCAAAATGTCCATTTTATGTACAAATTAAATCAGGGTCCATGTAAAATAAGTTTGCATGAATTTTCCTATTTTGTTGTTGGTAATGTTGTCAATGCAATTTTCAAAAGGAAATAGTATTTTAGCAATATTAGTTATAAAAATTAGTTATAAAAATTGAGTACAGATTATTCCCTCCCTTGCCTTTCTCAGAACTAAGGTGGATAAGAGGTCTGAATGATTGAGCCCTGAGGGCATTACAAATGAAATTAGTTTTGCAGCCTGATTCAATTTCAGTGCTTATTGGCTCTTTTTTTCTCTTAACAGCTTTTTGTATTTTCCTCTTATTTAACAACATTCACTCTGCTGGGGTCAACAGATGGTGCAGGGAGACGTTTAGCTTTTAAAGTCTTGGTTTTACTAATGATTTTATTTCTTCTGTTGGTCTTTCTCCACCACAGGCGACCATTGGAATTGACTTCCTATCAAAGACGATGTACCTGGAAGACCGAACAGTAGGAAGCCTTGATTGTCATTGGAAATTCACACGTG